AAAAAAAAAAACTTGATTTTTTTAGTCTCACTTAGAGTCTTTTTGAAGTATCATGTATAATAAAAATATTCTTAATCAGTAAAAAAACGTGAAAATTTTGTTTTTATTCATTCACCTGATTTATTAAAAAAAACTTCTTCAAATAAAAAACGCTAGGAAAAAGCTCACCAAACACCATTTTGTAAGAAAATAGCAATAAAAAACATTTGGAGGGAAAGCAACACGAAATTGTATTGAAATTCTCATGAAACGATTAATTCTCACGCCTTCGTAATAGGAAGAGGAATGAATACAAAATGACTCATTTTTCGAATTGTCCTCAAGATTTTGATTCTATTTCTCAGAAAACAAGTTTACAAAGCCGAAAAACCCTTCGAAACTCAATAATTGCTTCTAAATGTAACTTATTAAGCAATTAGATCAAAGATAAAAACGGCAAAAAAGTTTCTTCCGTTGCCGGGAATCGAACCCGGGCCTTACGGGTGAGAGCCGTAAATCCTAACCACTAGACCACAACGGACGGCGAGTTGCAGTGGCAGGGAGAGCCACCAAATGGCCTCCGCGTCTTCTCTCTATTAAGGTTTAACTTCAAATTTATCAAAAGTTCTCATTCTTTTGGTAGAAAAATACGTAAAAAGGTACAAATTCCCTGAAACTCTGATAAAGTCGAGCCGAAAACGCAAAAGCAGACATCAAAAACGGAAAACAAACACGAAAAAGCCGACGACGCCATAATTTCGTCACATTTTTTTTTCGTCTTTTTTTCATCTTTTTTTTGTTCGTTCCAGTCAGTGTGAAACGAAATAAAAATCGACGTTTGTGAGTGTGTGCAAGAATTCGACGGCCATGGGAACATTGGAAATGGAAATAAAACGAGGAAAATCGAGCTTCGTTTCGAAGATTTTCCATGAAAAGAAGAAGAAACGCCCACACGAGAGATGGGCATTTTAATTGAAAAATTGGAAAAATGAGAAGATTTGTTCAAGGAAAATATTAATTTTCGATGGGAAATTGGTTTGGGAGAAGAAAAACAGACCTTTTTAGATAGTGTTTCGTATCTAAAATTTTCATATAAAAATAAATGATAGCGATAAAGATCTTTTTGAAACATTAAGAACTTCAAAGTGGTCCCTATAGGGGTCACTAGAGCTTGCAAAAGTGGTCCCTATAGTGGAAATGCGTCGATAATTTGTATGAACGCTATGCGAAGCAGCATTTCCATGAGGAAAACTAAAAAAATAACTACCTTCGATAAAAATTGAAAGAACCCCTATAGGGACCACTTAGGCTTTAGGGGCTAAAGGGTCAGATCCAAAACCCCTATAGGGTCCACTTGAGCTTTAAGGCTAACGGGTAAGACCCTAAACCCCTGTAGAGAGCACCTTGATTTTACCCCTATAGGGACCACTTTTTCGGCCCCTATATTGGATGTTTACCCCGCTAACCCCTAGAGAGACTTTCACGCTAGAAACCAAACAATCAATCAGCATCAAACTGAAAAGGGCCGCATTTGGAATGACTGAACTGCTTCAAGACGCGCCCGACCCGAAGCGACTTGCGCGAGGTTCCATGCAAAGTGAGTCAAGCCGACTATTAATAGCCGTCAATGGGGAACCTACATGTTGGAAAAGGGGAAGGAACAAAGAAACATGCTGACCGGAGGAAAAAAGGTCCCAAGAGGGGGGGGCTCCTTCTTGGAGAATCGAAACGTTTTTGGCGAGAATTGAACGCCGCGCCGTTCAGACGAAGCTTGGATTTCACGGCCATTTCATTTTTTTTTCTATTGGATTCGGCGAGAAATGCCTTTCTTTCAAGCCGAAGAACACCTCGATTTCGGCACTTTTGATATGATAGAAACTACTTCTGGCCTACATTTTTACGATGAAAAAAGTCGCCTTCGAGCAAAACTAACTCCAAAACAAGGTTCCAAAAAAGAGACAATTTGAATAACAAACAAGGGTCAATCGACCCAAAAACGGCACGTAAAAATGCGAAAAATGAGACGAAAATGGGGCGGCTTCTTCTCTTTTTTTCGACGTCGTCGTCAAAAAAGTGTTTCGACTTTTGGTTTCGAGGCGACTCCTGGGATTCCAAGTCTTCTCGGTTTTTTGTCTGTTCGTGTTGCCGATTCGAGTGGTCCCTATAGTGTGATCAAGGAGTTTGAGTTATTTTTCTGGGCTCGAAAACCCGAAAACTTGGTTAGAAGATGAAAATGGACGATAACAATTGAAAAATGACACTCTTAAAAATTCCAGAGTGGTCCCTATAGGGGTTGGAGGAAAAGAACCCCTATAGGGACCGAAAAAGTGATCACTATAGGGGTAAAATAAAAGTGGTCCTTGTAAAGGTTTCTTGTTTGAACCTTTAGGCCCTAAAGCTCAAGTGGACCCTATAGGGGTTAGAAAGAAAATGATACTAATAGGGGCCGGCAAAGTGGTCACTATAGGGGTAAAATGAAGGTTGTTCCTATAGGGGTTAGTAGCCGAAAAAGTGGTCACTATAGGGGTGAAATAAAAGTGGTCCTTATAGAGGTTTCGTGTCTGAACCCTTAGGCCCTAAAGCTCAAGTGGGCCCTATAGGGGTCTTTCAAATTATTTTCAAAAACGATTATTTTTTAGTTTTTTCCCGTAGAAATGCTTCTTCGCTAAGAGTTTATAAAAGTCATCGACTAGCATGTCCCCTATAGGGACCACTTTTTTCAAGCTTTACTGACCCCTATAGGGATTTGCAAAGTGGTCACTTGAGGGGCTCCTCCAAGAGGCCTTAAGGTTCCCTTCAGAAATTCTGAAAATGAATCAAAGCTTTAAAAAAAAATGTTGCCAAGTTAAAAACTTCACTCTGAAGCCTAAATTCTCCTTTTGAAACGTTATTCGAAAACTCAAAACTGGTCTTTGAGGCCAAAAAATTTTTTCCAGAGCAATTAAAGCAAAAAAAAGGGACTTGAAGTTGGAAAACAGCTTTCAGATTTGAAAACTTTCTTTGGAAGTCAAAAATTCTTTAGTAAAAAATACTCTTTCAAAGACAAAAAGCGGCTTTTAAACACAAAAAAGCTTTATTTCGCTGCGAAAATATTTTTTGAAGCTTGATACTCGTTTCTGTAGCCTGAAAAATATTATTCAATGCTCCGAAAACCAAAGATTTTTGAAAAAAACTTAAAGTCAAGAAAAATGCCTGAAAACCAATGAGGAAAGGAATAAAAACGCACTAAAACATGGGGCCAAAAGCCGTTTCGAAAATGAGAAATGTGACGATCCATTTCCTATTTCAAGGCAATTTTTATGACCATTTCACGTCTAAAACGCTCAAAAATGATTGTTTCAAATAGAAAACGAGGAGAAAAAAAGAAGCAGGAGACGTTCGGAAAACAAAAGGAGAAGAAGGACGCGTCGATGAGGATTCTTTTGACGGATGACCTGCGGCTCATTTTTCCATTTTCTCCATTTTTTCGCGCTTTTAGGATGATGTTACCTCGATTTTTTGTTTTTCTTGGTGAAAAGCTATCAGAAAACAATTGTGAGCCTTAGAATTTGGTCCTTAAGGTACCTATTCATCATTTAAAATGAAAATGAAAAGAGCAAAAAGGTGTCTTCCGTTGCCGGGAATCGAACCCGGGCCTTACGGGTGAGAGCCGTAAATCCTAACCACTAGACCACAACGGACGGTGCTGGTGGAGAGGCCAATGGCGCCCCATACACCTGCCGCTGTTTTTCTGCTAGGTGAAGCTGATCAATTTAAATAAAATGGTAAAACTTTTTTTCAACTTCGGAGACAAGATTTTAATGAAATTCTGCAAAAAAATTGAAAGAGAAATTGCAGGAAAAATCGGCAGCTGACAATTTCAGGCGCAAAGACTCATGTTTCCAATGAAAAAGTGCAGTTATTCAATGCAGTTTCTAACCACAAAAAAGTTAAAAAAAATTTTTCCTGAATTTCTCTTCGAATTAAAATCATATTTAGTAGAAGAGAACACAGTAAGAACTTAAAAAAGCCAAAAAAATTGTAAATTCTCAACAGAGCGCAATTTTCACAATGAGAACGGCCAAAAACTAGATTATAGCAATGGAGCATAAATTCAAACCTAAAAAAGCTTCAAGTCGGAAATTCACTCAAAAAGAAGCTGAAAAGGTTGAAAAAATTGAAAATTATCAATGGAGCGCAATTCAACCTTTGAGAAAGGCCGATGAGGTTTAAAAAACGTACAAATCACAAAAAAAAGAGGAAATTTTCATTAGAGCAAACTTCCAAGCTAAAGAAAGGCCGAAATCTCAAATTTAGCCGTAGAGCGCAGAGAAAACTCCGATAAAAGCCGAAAAAAGAGGTGTCCTGTCTCAATTTTCGTCATTTTTTTTTCGGGAGGTTCGTGGTGGGGCAACGGCGGCGGGTACAGCGGTAATTGACTTTCGCTTCAACTTCTGCCGTTTTTTTTTCCTTCTTGCCTTCTGCTCTCTTTTGCACACACACCCTCAAAAACTCCTTCAGGAAGCCGCCAAATTGCCTGCTTTTTTTCCGTTTTCTTTTTTTCCCTTCATAACGTAGCCGGCTTTTTGAGTGATAAGTGGCATTGGTTTATTTATTGAAATGCGACTGAGAAGTTGAGGAAATGAGAGAGAAATAAAGCAGCTGCCGAGGAATGGAGAGCTGGTGAGAGTGTTGAAAATTGGGAAATTTCGAAATTTTTCAGAAACAGTTCAAATCTCAAATGACATGTTCTGGTTGGGATTTTCAGCATGAAATGAATGAAAGGCTTGAAATTCCCCCCAGAAACTTGCAAAAAGACCATATTTTTTCGAAAAAAGGCTTGATTGAAATTCGATCTAGGTGTTCTTCAAATTTTCTGAACGTTTTCTTGATTTTTCCAGCCAAATAATAAATCCAAAACTATCAAATACCAACAAAAAGTCCTCGGAAACTGTTCCAAGGGTCAAGGCACCTTTAAAATCTCAAAAAAGAATCTTTAAAACACGGACGTTAAACGAAAAGCCGTCCTCATTTCTACCAGCATGTGCCTTGGGATACCGCTGAGCTCTTGGCTTCCCCTAGCCATGGAAGCTTTCATGGTAACTTTTTAATTTAAACAAAACGTATTATTATTATTATTATTATTATTATTATTATAACCTCATACAATTCACAAAGCTAATTTTTGACTTTTTCCCAGGCGTACAGCTATATCGGGATTTTGTCACAGTTTGCGTTATATGTAAAAGACGTTCATCAGTTCACCCCAACGGCTACCAGACTTGCGGTCAGTTCCTTAGATCAGAGACGAAACATGTCCGCATGTGGAATGGGTCAAAGCGTCGCGGTTGCTTTAGAACGCATCCGAGTTCGAGCGAATCGATAGATCACCTCTTTAACCTCTGATTTATCGAATTTTAAAACTAGATCAAAGTTAAAAACCTTTTTTTTTCCAGTTTGAAGCCTCGAAAAAGCTTCTAATGCTTCTCCACCTATTAGGCGCAACTTGGGCTTTGATATGAGTCGGAAAAAAATAAGCCTTATAGTCACTTTTTCTCTAAATATGTTGTAGAACACGATTTTAGGAATTTTTGTCATTTTCGAGATACGGTAGCTCAAAGGATTACGGTAAAAAAGCTTCGAAAATCTATATCTCGCCAAAAATTGACGAATCTTGATCAAAGTTTGTCACACAAAGTGAAAAATGAACTATTTCCAGTTTTAAAACACCTAAAGACTCACAATTGCTCATTATTGCTCATACTAGTGAATTGTTCCTAAAATATTCAAAACCAGTTAGAAAAAACCCATTTCCCTTCAAAAGCTCTAGTTCCAAGCAGAATTTTATCATTTACATCGAGAGAGCTTTAAAAAAAACCTCAACTCAATTTATTCTCGATTTCAAGCCGTGACCATCAAAATTGAGCTCAATAATTCAGACCCACGTCTACATAGCCATCCTAACTTCAATTCCACTATTCATCGCTTATCTCGCCGATAATGTCTACGGCCAGTTTCGTGTCGTCGTTTTCACTGCCCTCGGCTCAGTTTTCGGTTTGAATCCATTTTTTTCAGGAGATTATTTCAATGAGTTTCCATTATCTAACAAATGATTTATTTGACTTTCTCATCTGAAAACTACCAACTGTACAAGGGGGGGCTGAAAATTCAAAATTTCAGGTCTGTTTTTTCTAGCATTCCTGTTAAAATTCTGACTTTTTCCTTTTTTTTTCAAAGTTATCTTATTTCCAGGCTATTCATTCCTCTACCTTGGCAGCCGAGAAGATTTACCGTATTACTCTACGATTCCTTTCTTTGTGATTGGAGCCATTTTGGCTGCAATAACAATGGGAACCGAAAGATCGGTTACGTCGATTTTTGCCGCTCAACAGGTTTCTCGACTCTTTTGGGAAAATCTTGAAAAAGATTAATTCGGAAAAAGTTTCTTGTAATGTCAGAAGGAACTAAGGACGGGTTTCATTTATACTTTACCCATTTCACTAGGGAATGTTTGTTACCCCCCGCTGAACTTTTGATGAAACTTTGCTGAAGTGTAGGGAGCTTCAAAGTCCCCAAAATGTGACAAAAACTGCTATTTCAGGCTTTTGAAGCGTTCGAACTCAAAAACCAGACCTGTTGCGCGAAATTTTTAGCTTGTGCTGCAATCATGACGTTCTAAAGTGCACGTCAGGGAAGTTTCATCAAAAGTTCAACCAGGGGGGGTTTTCGTGCCAACGTTTATACTCCGATTTGTCAATGATGACTTTTTCTGTGGATGAAATATGAATCTTCTTCTTCTTCCTACGCCTCTGTACTGAGCGGCGCCCAAAGTCGAATAGCTGCGGTCCTATCCTGATATCCATGATAATCAGTGGACTGGCTCGAGTGTACTCAACAGCGACCCCAAGTTCTCCAAGCTTATGCTTTGTACAGCTTTTTCTCGTTTGTACGCCTTGAGGGGCTCAAGTCGATCTTGATATCAATGATAATCAGTGAACTGTAGTGCGGCCGTGATTACCCACTACCAAAATTTCTAAAACCCATTGTTTGGGTCGTGGCGGGGATCGAACTTGTGACCCTGTGGACCTTAGACGGGCACACAGCCTGTTGCGCTACGGCACCCCACTGTGAAGGAAATATCATTATTATTATTATTATTATTATTATCATTGTCATTATTATTATTATTATTATTAAATAAGGCATGCTACCGAACTTTCTACAAAAAACTTCCCCAAAAAGAACCGGAAGCACTTGAGTCAACGAAAACCCTCCCAGATCCCGAAAGAGAACCAAGACTACCGTCCACGTGTCTTCTCAATCTTCTACATTTTCTGCAACGTTGGCGCCACCACGACATTTTTCCTCCTCCAACTTTGGAAACGCAGTTTCTCCTGTTACGGTCGACCCTACTGCTACACGACGCTTTTCGGTATTTATCCCAAAAAATTCTTTTTTAAGGATACAATTTTCAAGCTTCCTACCTCGGCTCCTCGGCCATCGGAGCTCTCATTTTCTTCGTCGGTCTACCTTTCTTACAATCGAAGTTATGAGAAATCGACCGCTTTTCCTGACTGCTTTTGAATGCGTCAAGAAGGCTCTAACTTCTGAAGGTTACTAAAGAATTGACAACAAAGGTAATTACGCGAACTTTAGGAAATCAAGAAGAGGAGGAAGAAACTTCGGAGGACAGGTCCGATTCAACGACGACAATGATGAATTATTCTAAAACAGGGTCTTTCCTCGACTACGCCTTTCCAGACTACTCAAGGAGATATATTTTTGAGGTACCTTCAACTTGAAATCGAAAAAAAAAGAGGAGACATGAAAAAAAAACTTGACTTTTAGAGCTGGGAGGGGGGGTTCGAGAAGCTACTTTGTAGGTCTACAAGAGGTCCAGGCCCAAAAAATCCATTTTAAGAAAAATAATTTTCCAGCTCTGGTCAATGATCAAGGCAATTCGTGTGTGTGCAGTCGTGGCGATTCCATTTTTCGCTATATATTTTCAAGTCTTCAGTTCTTTGGTTATACAGGTTCACTTCCTTTTTTCAAAAAATAGTTCTTGGTCGCATTTGAAATGGCCTAAAAATAGTTTCCGACCTGAAACGCTTCGGGAAGTGTTAGACTTAAACTGCGACACCTTGAGCCATTCCAAATGCGACCACAATTTCCTATCAGACCATTTTTCTCATTCCCAGGGCGAATATCTGAACCGCCGATTCCGTTCCTACGTAATTCCAGTGGATCAGCAGAATGTGGTCATTCCGATAATTTGTATCGTTGCGGCGTTTTCACGAAAGTTCATTTTCGGTTCTTCCGACGGATTGTGAGTTTTTGGTCGCACTGGGAATGGTTATATGCGATGCGGTTGCGTTGCGGTTGGACCTTGAAAGGTTTTTGTCGCGCAAGTCGCTTTGAAGTCGGGTGCACTTCAATACAGTGGAAGTTTTGCTGCCTTATATAACAAAAAAAAAATCAGAACGCATCTTTGGTGTCTCTCTTTTTTCAAAAAAATCATTTTCGGTCCTTCCGATGGATTATGAGTTTTCGGTCGCATTTGGAATGGTTATATGCGATGCGGTTGCGTTGCGGTTGAACCTTGAAAGGTTTTTGTCGCGCAAGCCGGTTTCGGGTCGGCTGCACTTCAATACAGTGGAAGTTTTGCTGCCAAGTGCATTGAGCCAACTTTGAGATAGCCAAAGAAAGTCATAACGCATCTTTGGTGTCTCTGTTGTGTCGAAAACTCATTTTCGGTCTTTCCTTTCGAAGGATTGTGAGTTTTCGGTCGCACTTGGAATGGTTATGTGCGTCGCCCTGCGGTTCAAGTTGAACTTTTGAAAGTTTCTGTCGCGCAAGTCGCTTTGTGGTCGGGCACACTCCAAATTACCAATCTCCTTCTGCTCAATTTTTTCGTGGCTATTTGAAAAAAAACTGGAAAAAATATTCAGCTTCAACCACCATCGACAAATGGCCATCGGATCGATTCTTTGTCTGATTGCCGTGATTATAACAGCAGTTATACAGGTAGATCCAAGCCTTATAAGTAGAGTAATAGAAGGTAAACCTACAATAGTCTGTTCACCATTTCAAATATTGAAAAAGTTATATTTACCTTTCTAAATTGTTCTGGAACCGAATTTTCGGACTGAAAAGCTTTTTAAATATTTTCAAAGTTCGAAACTTGTGTCCATTACAGTCTCTTGACTCCATTGAAACTCCATGAAGATTATTTTTAACGTTTCTCTTTTTTATACCTACAAATATATATATATATAGCTTGACTCGAGTTCAAACCTCTGAAACTCCATTTTTACAGCCTAAAAAGCGCCTTTGAAAGTACCTAACTTGGTTATTACATTTTTCTTCCAGATACAAATTGACATGGTCGATTCCCTGGAACACGACGAGACTATGGTCACGGTAAGCTTTTCGGTCATTGCCCATATATTTTACTCCATATGTTTCAAGGTCATAACTCATCCAGAAAGCCTGACAGAAGACTGTGAAATTGTCTTTTCCGAAGATTTCAGCGAATCTGTCCGGAGAGGTGAATTTTTTATGCTCAAAGCTTGAAAATGACCAAAATCAGAACCATTTATTGAAAAAATGCCGTTCATAGCAATATCAGGGCCGCATCAGGAATGGCTCTCTTAACTAGGAGGAAGAAAAACATACACCAAAAAGCCATTCCAAATGCGGCTAAGAACACGCATTATTGAGTCCAGAAAAAAAATAGTCATTCTTACTACCTTAGCAATGTCAGGGCCGCATTGGGAATGGCTCTCTTCACATTTTTCTCAACTGAGGGGAAGAAAAACATACACCAAAAAATTTTTTCCAAATGCGGCCGAGATCATGCTTTATTTGGTCTAAGAGAGGACAGCCTTTCTTACTATCTCAACAATGTCAGGGCCGCATTGGGAATGGCTCTCTTTCCCATTTCTCCTTACGAAAGGGAAGAGACACCGCAGAAAAGCCATTCCAAATGCGGCTTTATTGAGTCCAGGAAAGCTACAGTCATTCTTACTGCCTAAACAATGTCAGGGACGCATTGGGAATGGCTCTCTATCCCATTTTTCCTTAAGAAAGGGGAGAGACACCGCAGAAAAGCCATTCCAAATGCGGCCCAAATATTATCTCTGCGAATTGAACTATAGAACTGGAATCGATGAGTTATTGAATTGAAACCGCTTTTTTCCTAAAAAATCTCAAAGTGAAACAGTAAACCCTGATTTAAGGTCATCACCACAGTCTCAAGTCGAAAAAATGCGATTTCGAGTTCACATTCACGCCCTACTCTGAAGGCCACGTGGTGATTATCGATCGGATAACTGAGAAAAACTTCACGAACTTCTACGAATCCAGTTTCGGAATCCACAAACCGGCTGGCCACGTCGTTATGCTAGCCATGGCTTTGGAGCAGGGCAAAGTTGGTTTTTTTTTTAACTGAAAAGCTCTAAAAATATGGATCTAACAGCACAGTAAAGTCTACAGAGAGTCAAAAAACAGCTTTTTGAGGACTGAAATTAAAATTATATTAGATGAGAGCATCCATTGGAAAACTTTGAAGTCATTTAAGGCTACCGTATGAAAGTTACGGTAGAAATTGAATTCAAAGTAAATTTTTGGCTTTTTTGAAGCTATAAACTTGAAATTAAAGTTACAAGCTCTTAGAAGCTTTTAAGACTACAGTATGAAAGTGTTACGGTAGGTGAACTGTAGAACTTATAAATTGAGTTCGAAGTGAAGAAAATTATTAAAAATCACACTATTAGCTTTTCTCAATTGACATGTGGTGTTCGCCGTTCACAACGACTGATGTGTCCGTTGTGGTCTAGTGGTTAGGATTTACGGCTCTCACCCGTAAGGCCCGGGTTCGATTCCCGGCAACGGAAGACATTTTTGCCATTTATCTATTAGCTTATTATTGCTTCCGGATGCACTTTTTGAAGTTTATAAAAGATTGAAAATACATAAAGCCTTCAAAAATGGTTTATTTCAGATGGCAGAAGCTTCATTATCACCTACTGGCGCTAACGAACTGAAAAAAGTGGTTTTTCGTGAAGATATCGTAATAGAACACGCTCTACCGATCACTAGTGAGCCGAACTTCACCATCACCTACAGTAATGGGTAATTTTTCTGGTCGCATTTGAAATGGATCGGCGCGTTGCTTGTCTTACAGTGACTATGACGTTTCGAGCCATTCCCAGTGCGACTAATGTCAATTTTAAACATTTTCCAGAGCGAAACTGACTATCGATTCAACGTACGCCGGCGGTGGTCTTTACGTTATCGATCCGACAGATTTAAGCTTGATAGAGTATGTTTTTTTTTTCATTTCAACGTGAAAAAGTTATCTTCAAAATATTCCAGAATAATCCCCGGAAATACGATTTCGTTCATCTTCCAATTATCTGCATTTCTGCTGATTTTGTCCGCCGAAACGATGATAATTGTGGCGGGACAGGAATTTTGCTACTCTCAATCTTCTGCGTCAATGAAAACTATTATGCAGGTGATCTTTCAATTCCGCGTAAAAAAAGGGGTTTTGGCTACCTTTTAGTCAAAACTGCTTCAAAAATCCTTCTGTCTCATACAGAAATTTTAACTTTACACACAATCATTTCGAAAAGAGCTTGCAGAAAAAAAAAGAATTTTTTAAACGGTCGAAACAGAAAAAAACTAATAAAGAAATTGATCAGCTTGAAAAACGACATTTTCGAGCAAATGCAGTTGAAAATATCGTCTAAATCACTAAAAATCAGATCCAAAACCCATCAATAAGCTATAACAAAAATGGCAAAAAGAACTGAAGAGAGTGGGATTCGAACCCACGCCTCCGAAGAGACTGGTGCCTTAAACCAGCGCCTTAGACCGCTCGGCCATCTCTCCACGAGAGTTTGGCAGGCGCGTCGCCGTACATAGCCCCTCTCTCCGCTTGCCACAATGCACAGCCGGGTTCATTTTCAGTCGAGTTGGCTACTATTTTCGTTCGCCGGCAATTTGATCAACTTTATATTGAGTCCGGTCTCCTTCGAGGTCACTTATATCATAGCAATCAGTGAGTCTTATTCATTATCTTACTTTTAAAAACAACAAGGTAAATTTCAGTCCTGGCCGCAGTTTCAACGATTTTGTTCATTGGAATGACACGGAATTATAATTACAATTCTATTGATACACTATGTAAGTATTACTCTGTGAAATTTTCAACTGTGACAAAAGTGGTAGGAAAAGGAAGGGCAATTTTCAACTAGAATATCGAGTTCTATACAAAGTTAACTTTCAAACTCGGCTTCCGAACAAAATTTCATAATCAATAAACTAGAATATCAGAAAAAGACTCACCTTTGACTTTTTATGAATATTTATCTGTCCGAATCGTCCAGTTTCGCTTAAAATATGGCGCATAATCGAGTCAAGAGGTTGAAATCCTATTTTTGCAGTTTTCGATGAAAAAAAAAACGTGAATAGGTTGTGGAGCATTCCATAAACGTAGCTGCAGACGAATATTAGTCCTAAAAATTCAAATTTGTAAAATAAATACGATAAAACGAAAAAATTATAAAAGAAAGCACGAAAAAAAAAAATTAAATCGACCTTTTCGCCTAAAATTTTCACCGTTTGCGTCAACGTGTTTGCAGAATGTGAATACCGTAACCTTGAAAGACAATTTTTTTTCAAGTTTCTTTCGCTTTTTTGGTTCATAAAAAAATTTCGAAATGAATAAGATGTATAATACAATCTTTGATCAACTCCAGCAATTTTTGCATTTTTCAGCTCGTTCCGACTCACAAACTTCAGCCGAAAAACTGTGATTTTTGCAATTCTCAGTTAAAACAAAAGAACTTCAAAGTTTATGCCACAATAAACGGATAATCAAAGTGTGTTTTTCACCAGTCGAACATTTTTTTGAGTGAATAAGACCAGAAATTCGTAAATCACTGGGCGATCGAAAACCAACTATATAATTAATAAGTTATGAAATGAATTAAATAAAAAGAAAAAAGAAGCAAAAAAGGCAAGTAAATAAATAAAAAGGAGCGAAAAAGCTTTGGTGATAAAACGAAGCATTGCCGGGGGATTATGGCTGGAGAAGAATGTATAAAAATACCTTATTTAACAAACAGAATGATGTTTTAAAGCAAAAAAAAAAACATGAGAAATTAATTAGTTTTTCGCTTGTAGAGGTACACGTAGGCGAGTTGCTTGGGTGGGTTCTGCGAAATTGCCACTTTTTCGTCGTTGAACAAGATCTGGAACGAATTTTGCTTGATAAGGTTTTTTTGAGTTTCTATCTAGGTATTTTGGAGTCCTTCATCTTGAAAGAGAGGTATGATTTTGAAGAGCGGCTAAAATTATTCAGGACGTTAATTGTTTGAGCTCAAACGCGCCCCACCGCTAAAATCATTCTTTTTGAAACTCTTTCCGACCGGACGCGCGTCGGACGTTTCTGATCGATTCTAATGACCACTTTAGTGGCGTCAGTACCCTTAAGTGATCCCTAGAATCGCCCAGACACGTCCGGTTCGCGTTACCATTGTCCGAGTACGCAAATCGTACGTGTCCGGGCAATTCTAGTGGCCACTTTAGCGGCGTCAGTACCCTTAAGTGATCCCTAGAATCGCCCAGACACGTCCGGTTCGCGTTACCATTGTCCGAGTACGCAAATCGTACGTGTCCGGGCAATTCTAGTGGCCACTTTAGCGGCGTCAGTACCCTTAAGTGATCCCTTGACTCGCTGAGACACGTCTGGGCGCGTTATGAAGGTCCGGGCATTTTTTTTTTCTTTAAAATCAAAGTTTCTCGGTTCAAACGACACTCCACCACTAGTTGACTTGAAAAAAGCATCTTCTTCTATTTCGAGTGTAGGACAAAAGCGCCGATTCCAAGAGCGCCGTTCAAATTGAGCGCCAGTCCGCAATGCGCCGTCGCGTGTATGCGCCGTGTATGCAGACGCCGCTTTCTTTTGCGCCGAGTCCGTTTGCGCCAAATCGTTTTGCGCCGTTATTTCAAACTTTTATTTTTTCGCTCTTTTTCTATCATTGTTTATTGATTGTGTAGTACACACTCATATACAACTCGAATAATTTTCGCGCCATCTGTTAATATGGACTTTTCTGCTGCATTTTCGAAAAAACTCGAACTTTTGTTCCAAGAAAATGAGTTCAACGTTACGAAAAACGATTTTCTGCTGTTTCACGTCTGCTAGAATTGAAACTTTGCCTTACCTAACGCAGAAAATTAGCAACCACAAAAAAAATCACTCAATATGTCGTTTGAAGCAATAATTTTTTTTTATCCATTCTCTTTTCCTTTAGTTTTTCTGTATTTTTTTCGAAATCAGAAAAGCATATTTGCTTTTTTATTTTTACTTTGAAAAGAAAAAAGGGGAAAAAATATTTTACCTGGACCAAAGTGGACCTAAAACTCATCATTAACGGATGGCGCGAAAATCATTCGAGTCGTATATGAATGTGTAGTAAACAATTATTAAAAATTAATATAAAAAGAGCGAAAAAATAGAAGTTTGAAATAACGGCGCAAAACGATTCGGCGCAAACGGACTCGGCGCAAAAGAAAGCGGCGTCTGCATACACGGCGCATACACGCGACGGCGCATTGCGGACTGGCGCTAAATTTGAACGGCGCTCTTGGAATCGGCGCTTTTGTCCTATACTCTCTATTTTAAACGCTCTCCATCGATAAATTGGCTCAGCCGTTCTTTCGCTCAACCGAATTAAATTAAAGCTAATTTTTTTAAACATACTGCTTTCATATCACTCAAAACCATACGTAGGCTGGATCCCACCACGGGGTGCCCCCTCAAAAAGTGCGGCCAACCCCTTTAATTTTTTTCGGCCGATGTATGCTCAAAACGGCTATTTCTTCCTGTTTAACTTCGCTCCAACGCTAAAACTGACCCATTTGCCGTCCTTGAGCATGTGAGCGACGTAGTGACCGGAATCTGGTCGGGAGCCCATGTGAGAGATGAAGCCGATGAGTTCATAGACGCCGTTTCCGTCGCGCAGTTCGCGCTCCTTCTGAGGAGCGGCTGGGGTTGGAGGTGGAGCTGGAGCTGGAGCTGGAGCAGGTTCGGCAGCCGGCTCTTCCGCGGGAATCTGAACAGGAATGATACTTGGATAGCTTTCTTAGTTATGATAACACCTTCTAGAAAGATGCTTTTTACTAGGGACATTTTTCAGGTCTCCACTAACGAGTGGTCCCAATAGGGTAAAATCAAAGTGGTACCTACAGGCTCCTGAAGTTTGAGAAGTCCCTATAGGGGTGGTAGTCAGGCCACCTAATTTCAAGATCAATTCATAATTTCATCAGAAAATATTCTACAGAACCTTCGAAAAAAGCTTCAAAAAGAACCCGTAAAAGGCCTGAAAACCAACCGAATCGACGTTGGAAAAGAGCCAATCGCAAGCGACTTCGACTTGCGGATTCCGCTGCAAGGCCACCTTGGCCTGATAGGCCGTGAAACCTGGAAAATCGATCAGAAAGTTGGTGCTGAACAACTCGTCGCCGAACCCAAGGCCATGACCATCGCTAGTTGGTTTGGATCAACTTCTGAGGAAGTTTGAGCGGTGGTAGGGGCTTCTTGGACCGGCGGGTCGTTGAGGGTCGCGTCGTCGAGTCGGCCCATCACCCAGTCGACGGCCGCCTGGAATGGAGGGAAAATAGACCTAGAAGACGGGTCTACAGCTTGAAATTACCATAAAATCTCTTGAAAAGCTGATTTTTGAGGAATAAATTCCATCTTGGACTAACCCCCTTGGCATATTGGAATAACCACCAAACCCAAAAAACTGAAATTTTTGAGCTAAAATATATCTATTCAAAAGCCTTTCTTAGGAGCGTTAGAGTAGTCCCTTTAGGGTAAAAACAGTCTCCAAAGGGTAGAAACCCCGCCCTCTCTACTTAGGAGCTTTAGAGTGGTTCCCATAGAAGTGAGAGGGAAAACAGCCCCTGTAGGAACCGAAAGAGTGATCCCTATAGGGGTAAAATCAAGATGGTCCCTATAGGGGTGGTTCAATTTCATTCAAAAAAGTTAAAAAGTCACTTCTGCAATCTTGAGTGAAACCCTATTGGGGTTTGTAAAGTGGTCCCTAGAGGGTCCTTTCAAGGCTCTCAAATTTGCCCCTGTAGGGACCACTCTCGAGTTTCTAAGAAGGATCAAAACTTGATAGTCCCTATAGGGGTTTGAGGTCTGACCCCTTAAGCCGCTGAACCTTAAGTGGCCCCTATAGATTTCTTTCAACTTTTTGTTCAAAATTAGAAATTAAACAACAAAGTGGATCAATATGCTCTGTTGATACTTTGCATTCGCGCCCCTATAAGGGCCACTAACTAGAACCCCTACAGGGACCACTCTGGAGTTTCTAAGTCCACCATTTAAACCCAATTATCATAGAATATTTTCCTACGTTTTCAAGGCTATTCATCTTGGTTTTGAAGCGATTTTCCATCAAATTGAGTTTAATTTTTCTAATTTTGAGCAATTTTTTGCTGATTTTTCCCCCACCCACCTCAACGCCTCCAGTGCCGACGGCGATGGCCGCCTTGACCGAAGCGTTTTCGGTGAAACCCATCATGACGAGCTGCTCGACGACCGACTGATCGTAGGCCGGTTGAGCTGCAGGAGGTGCCGACGGCACGACCGGAGCCGACGTCTTCGGCGTTTCGATGTCTTCCGGCAGGGGGTCTTCGTTGGCTTGGATTCCCGAACCGCGGTAGCTGCTGATGTCCAGGGTTTCGGCTACCTGGAAACAAGAAAGTTATAGACAATGACGCCTTTTTTCGCTAGCGATATCGCTGATTTCTATGAAGCCTTTTTTTCGCGATTAAGCGATATCGCTGATTTTTAGGATGTTTTTTTTTCTAGATTCGTAGCGATATCGATGATTCTTATGAAACCTTTTTTCCAGACATCTAGCGATATCGCTTAGAAGGCCCTTTTTTCGAAGTTTCTAGCGATTTCACAGATCCTTATGAAGCTTCTCTTCTAGAGTTCTAGCGATATCGCTGTTTTTTTTTTACGTCTCGTCTCGAGATTCCTAACGATATCGCTGATCTTTATGAAGCCTTTATTCGAGATCCAAGCGATATCGCTAATTTTCATGATTTCATTTTTCAAGATTCCCAGCGATATCGCTCATTTTTATGATGTTTCGTTTCGATATTCCTAGCGATGTGACTTATGTTTATAAGCCTTTTTCTTGCGATCTAGCGATATCGCAAATTTTAATGTGAAAATTAGATCTAGTTTTCATTTTTTTTTTTTACTTCAACTCTTCTTAACCAAAATTAGCCTTGGAGCAAACTTGTGAAATAAAAATGGCTCTTAGGCTGATTTTCAGCTCTTTTTAGCCTTGTTAGCCCTTCACAGTTTTTTTTCCACCCCAAACTCACCTCCATATCAATATCCAGCTTCTTCATCTCGCCCATGTTGGTGTAGGCGAATTTCTGAGGCAAAACATTGCTTTTTAATCATTTTTTTTTCTTGAAAAACCTGAGATTGGACCAGCAAATAATCGGGGTAGGTTTTGAATCTCAACGTGGTCGTGGCGCCGCCGATTTCACCAGTTACCGGCGATTTATAGCCCTAGAAACTTATCATTTTCTTGAAAAACTAGAGAAAAATCCTAAAAACTCTAAAAGTAAGCTTTTTCCAGTTATTATCATTGGAGCACATAATCCTCGATTTTCACGGCTATTTTTCTAGAAGTTTATTTTCTTCAAAGATGGCTTTTGTTATACGGAATACTGTAGGGAAAAATTCTATACCAAGCATTTTCCAATTATTATCATTGGAGCACTAATTCTTCTGATTTCACGGCTATTTTCCCAGTAATTTATACTTTCCTTCAAAGATGGATTTTGTTATAAGGAATACTAGAGACAAATCCTAAACCAAGCTTTTTCCCAATATTATCATTGGAGCACAAGATCCTCTATTTTCACGGCTACTTATTCACACCTCGATTGTCTGAGTTCCCAGGTAATACTCCACGGCTCTGGACATTTGAACACGGAAACGATTTTCCACACCTTCGATCGGTTCCATCAGCTCCTAGAATCTCAAAAATGATTACTTTTTCGTTAAACTGAGCAAACCTGAGCAATAGGGAGGTGCAACAGGACTTCATCGTTCTCGCTGTAGCGAACTTTGCCGGAGGAAACGTCTTGGAACCGATTTTCGAGTTTGAATCTGATTTAAAAACTTTTTTTTCAATAAAATTAGGTTCTAAAGTCACCTAAAAGCATAGGAGGGGTCCAGAACGTCTTCTGGAGTGTTGGTCTTGATCCTCTCGAACAGGAATCTTGAAAAAGGAGATTTTTGCTTGAAAATTGCACAATTTCGAGAAAAAAAGCTGCGAAAACTGAGCCAATGATAAAATAGCCGTGAAAGAATTTGCCTAGATCGACGAGCCGCTTAAAATTCGTCAACTTGGGCAAAAATGGTTGGGAAAATGCGCTCCATGGACAAAGTGTCCTTTTTTCTTTCAGGTTATTCTTTCACGGCTTTTTTTGTCATACACTCAAAAATTCTACACGTGAAATGACCTCCTTGTGAGGAAAATTCCGTCTCGAAAAGCTAGGAATGGCTTTTTGACCGTTTTTGTATGATTTTCAAAAAAAGGTTCCTAGAGACCTCGGAAGCATAGAAAAGGTCTCAAAATCCTTAAAATTGGTCGTATTTGGAATGGCTCAATTTTCAAAAATGGTCCATTTTTGTATTTAGTTCAAAAAATGATCCTAGAGGCCTTGGCAGTACAAAAAAGATCTCTGAATCCTTAAAATTGGTCGCATTTGGAATGGCTTTTCTCAGAAACGAGCCCTAAACTCAAAAAAATCCAAAAAAAGGGCAAAACGAGCTAGAAATAGTACAAATTTTTTTGAAAAGACAATGCTGAACAGCTCTAATCGTATCACCTGATTATGGCAAAAAAAAAATGCAAATATTCCCGAATTTTCCCTCGACGAGATCCGAACCCGCGACCCACTTCATATCAATCTAACGTCTATACCACTCAGCCAACCAACCTGATGTACTCCTCGACGTCTTGTTGTCTAGCCGTCGCGAATTCCCGATGTTTCTCCGCCATGACCAGTTTGAATTGCCGGGGCTTGATCGCATTCAAATCCGATCCTTCGCGCGCGAATTCCCCGCTCAACATTGACGTTATCACCTTGGCCAGTTGGGCGTTCAGATCTGTGTGGACCTGGAAAAAATAAATCTGTGAAAAAATAGGTTTTTAAATGAGTAGGAAAGTCTGCTCTATTGATAAACTTGATAATCTCATGGAAAATTTCAAAAAATCCGCTATTTTTCAGCTATTTTTCTACTTCAAATTGAAATTATGAGCCAAAATTATTATTTAAAGTTCAATTAAATGAGTAAGAAAGTCTGGTCTATTGATAAACTTCAAAAATTTCCAAAAATCCGCAATTTTTGAGCCATTTTCGTACTTCAAAATAAAACTACAAGCCAGAATTATTTTTTTAAAAAAAGCTCAATTAAATTGCTAGGAAAGTCTGCTCTATTGATAAACTTGAAAAAATCATGGAATATTTCAAAAAGTCCGCAGGTTTTGGTTATTTTCGTACTTCAAGACATAATTAAAAGCCAAAAGTATTTTTAAAAGCTCAATTAAATGAGTAAGAAAGTCTGCTCTATTGATAAACTTGTTAATTTCATGGAAAATATTCAAAAATCCCAGTTTTTCGGGTTATTTTCATACTTCAAAATGAAATTAGAAACCACAATTATTCTAAAAAAAGTTCAATTTTTCAAACCTGTTCCAAGGGGATCGCCTCGAAGATCGATTCAGATCCCTGATCGTAGCGTTTTTTGAAGTCCTCCACTTGGATCAAGGCTTGGAGGACCTAAAAATTCATTTATTATTGATTTTTCCCGGGAAAAAACCGAGTTCATGTAACAACTGCTGCCCAGGTTGATGATACCCGTGTAACCGGGGCCAAAAATCGATTCAAGTTCGGCACCGTCTTCTTGGCACTTTGCCCATTCCCATCTTAAAACGTGAATTTTTATATTTTCCATACACGGCGCGTTTTTGTTAGGGGAAGAAAATTTGAAACCAAAAACCCGGTGGGCGGAGTCAAAACCTTCCACGTGACGTCATGGAAACGGCAGGAATTCTAAGAGCGTAAATAAAAGGACATATTAAAGGCGCAGGCGGCCGTTTTGCCAGAGGTTTTTGAGACGAATCTCTCGCAATTTTTCTGCGCGAAAACGACGCAGTGCATGCACACGACACACCACACTTTACGGAGAAAAAATGTGCATGAAATTTATCATTTTAGAGCCGAAAATTCTGAGAAACCTTATTCTTCCAATTCAAAATTTCCAAATTTCAAACAAAATAGAATTTTTGAGAAAATTTATTGCAAGATTTTTGTCATAAAGCTCCCATTTTTGCAACTTTTCAAGCAGTTTTAAAGCGAAAAAAAAGTCTCAAAACCCTAAAAAAAAATATCATTTTCGACCAACTTCTCATTGAGATCCATCTCCATCTCCATGATACTTTTCTCGGTTCGCTCCATTTTCCGATGGTCGATCCCGAAATGGGCCAGATGACGTTCCAAGTTCGGGTCAATCACCGAGTCGTCCTCGTCGTAACTGGAAAAAAAAAATATTGTTCTCAACTTTTTTTTTTCTGATTTTTTAGAAGCCTACACGGCTTCCGTAACTTGGGAATCCCAGAGTGGCCCCTCTAGGGGTTAGTTAGGAAAACAACCCCTTTAGGGGCTGAAGAAGTGGTCCCATAGGGGTAAAGTTAAAGTGGTCCCTATAGGGGTTAGGGTCTGACCCCTTAGCCTCTAAAGCTCAAGTGGACCCTTTAGGGGTCTCTCAATTTCCTATAGGGACCACTTTTGCAAGCTTTAGTGACCCCTATAGAGGTTGGTAAAGTGGTCCCTAGAGGGTTTCCTCCAAGGGCCCTAAGGTTGCCCCTATAGGGACCACTCTCTCGCCTCAAAAAATGGAACATTTTATCAATGGAGCACATTTTCCCCTCAAAATACCTGTAAACATCGGCAGCGTCCAAGTTATGAGAAATGGTGCCGAGTTTGACGACCAGGGGGTTTCTGAAAAAAACCTAATTGTTCATTAATTATATTTTAGAATCTATAAGTTTCGAAAATGCATTCAAACTGTGAAAAAGATTCCAAAAAAGGTACCCTCAAGTATTCTTTATTTTAAAAAAGCCGTTTAGCTAAAATTTCACATGAACAAGGGTGCTCATAAAAACTCGATTCTCTTCAAAAATATAACCAAATGAACTTGAAAGATCCCTCAAGTGGAGCTTTTTTTCCCTTAAGGGATCCCTTAAAAAGCAAGTTATCAGCGAAAAATCAAAGGAAAATGAATTTTCCAACAAAATCGACTTTTTCAGAACATTTTTTCTATTATTTTCCATAAATTTTGTAACTTTCCCCCATATTCACCCAGAACTGCTATAATACTGTTGCATGTGGCCGTTGCCCCTGCTTTTCACGGTTTCCGAGACGAATTGCGATCTCCCGCAACGGATTGCTCCGTCCGTCAAGTTCAGCCACAGGTTCTCGTTGATGTCACAGCCTTCCTCCTCGCATTTCCAGCCGGAAACCGGGATCTGAATCGTCAAATTCACAGAAATCGAATGAAAAATGAAAAAAAATTAGGTAAGCATGGAGTCCAAAATTCATGAAAAAATAAGCTTTTTTTACAAAGAATCAATCATTTTTCTTGAAAAAAATAGCAGCGAAAAAAACAAAATTCTTTAAATAAAATCTGTTTTTAAAAACTTTTTTTGTCTGAAATATTAAAATTTCAGATCGACCGACAATATTTTTCAGTTCCCATTACACAGGGAATTCCACAAGTTTTGTTTTTCACAAAAAAATGAAAAAAAATTAGAATTTTTCTCTGATGTCTCTCTGGTTGAAGAGAATTCACTTAAAAGACTTTTGAGGAAAATCCTGAGTTCAATGAGATAATCTGATTCAAACCACGAGAGCAAAGGAAAAAAACTGATGAGATATTAAATTTATTTAAAAAAAACGGCTTCGTAGAGAGAAAAATCATCATTTTTCTTGAAAAAAAGCAGCGTTACAGGAAAATTCTCGGGATATACTTATTTAAAATTTAATTTCGGTTCAAACATGGAAGTTTTAAATTGAAAAACGTTATTCTCCGTTCAGCAAAGGTTTTCACAAGTTTTTGGCTCAAAATTGAAAAAAACAGAATGTGAAAAATTGAACCAAAAAAAGATGAAAAAAAATAATGAAAAAAAAAGTGATTCAAAAGATTCTGGGAGGATAAAACTTAATTAACTTTTTTAAGGCTTGAAATATAAAGATATTTTGTGTTGTTTGATAGTTTTTTAATGTAAATATAGCCTAAAATAGCTATAAAATAACTAAATACCGCCTAAAATAACTATATTAATGCGCAATCTGAAATAACTTCCCTGAAAAATCATCAGAACAAGAAAATTCATGAAATAAGCTTTCAAAAAACTAAATGAACAATAAAATGCATGACATTTTCTAACACGGCAAAGTCTCCATAGAAAAGTTCCTTTTTTTGCTGCCTTTTTTTGCGCCATTTCTTCGGCTTTTTATGCACCATTTTTGCTGCCTCTCTCCTTTTCCACCATTTCTTGAGTTTTTAAAATTTCAGGAAAAATGGAAGGTTTAATAAAGGGACCCTTTTTGCTGCCTTTTTTGAGCCTCGCCCTTTTAGAAGCCATTATTCACCATTTCCGAGAACAATAACCGTTTTGACTCCAAAAAAAAATCAAACTCCCACCTTTTTACCATTATCCAGTTGGACCAAATCCTTGTGTTTCGTGATCAACTTGACCTAAAACCTCGAATTTTTCATAAATTCTCAGAAATTCAATGAAACATCAGCATCCCAGGCGTTGCTGGACGTGGAAATCATGTTGAGCCGTTCGGCGCTCACCGAAGAAATCACTTTTTCCGTTACACTGAAAATAATAACTTTAATATTCTTTTAAAAACGTTAATATTCTCACCTCACAAGTTCAGAGCCAACCTCATCAGAAATCGGATAATTTTGATCTAAATGAGGGTAAACCGTCAAGAAATACTCGTCCGTGTAGTTGACCCTAAAAAATTTTCTTTTTTTTTTCATTTTTGATTCAAAATTCTACTTTGGAGGATCAATCGATAATTTCGTCATCTTGGTGATCGGCTCTCCGGTATTGGGATCCGAAGGCGTTTTTTCCTTTTCAACCGTCTGAAACCCCCAATTTTTCCGTTTTTTCAGGACTTCTCCAAACTCTTTTGCTTTTATAACGCAGGAACAAGTTGCTCGACGTCTTCTGAGCATACTTCTGAGCGTGCTCCTCGCAGAAAGAGAAATACGTCTTCAAACACACCAAAATGCCTCCTTGAAACAATAAAACAGTCAAAATTTAATAAATAAAAACCCCTTCACCTTCAAAAAACGGCGATTTGAAGCAGTACGTGCATTCGTCCTTGTAGATCTTACTATCGGCGGAAATTTGGGTGAATGGCGATGCACGAATATTGTCCAAAAGCTCTGGCTGGCTCAACGGCATCTGCGCGGTCCCCATCTCCTTCAAGAACAGCTTTACAAAGACTTATATTAATTGATATCTGCGAAAAATATGAGAGCACAAGGAAAACGATTTGAAATCGCAGCAAAAGAAGCGAAAAAACGAGAAAGCTTCTAGAGAAAGTCATCAAAACATTTTTTGAAATTTAAAACTTATTGCGCACTTAATTGCAGGACTACTGCGCGGCGCTTGCAAAGTGCGCTTCTCATCGGAGGATTCGCGGGATTTTCGTTCATTTTTCGTTTTTCTTTTTTCTTTTTCATTTTACATTAGAGAAATACCTTACAGGTGGTTTGATCTATCAGTCGCCATGGATTCGCCGGCTTGGATGTTCACCAAGGCGTTGTCCCATCGCCAAAAGGTTTTTCAGTGAATTTAGCTTGTTTTTGTGGAAATTCTAATATTTCCAGGTGTGCCGCTTGTATAAACGTTGCCTGAGAGAAGTCGACAACTGGTACGGTGGTGACAAGTGAGAAAATTCTGATGGAAAATTGAAAAATAACTTAAAACTTGCAGTTTGGAAGTTCGATTCCAAAAAGTGATCATGCGAGCTCGTTTCGACGCTCATAAGGTTAGTTTTTACTATAAAATACGCATAATTGGTTTCTAATCGATTTTTTCAGGACGAAATCGACACACGAAAGAGCCAAGTGCTTCTGGCCGACGGTTGCCGTCAACTTTGGGAGAAGCGCCATTTCAAGCCTTTCCGCTGTTTGTTTTTGATTATCTTTATGAATTTTGGACATTTTAAAAAGCTTGAAAACGTGTGTAAGATGATAATAAGATTAAGATATTTATTCTATTAACAAAATATTGAAAAATTGGGTTTTAAATATAAATTTCAGTCGCCCTGGATCCCGGCGGCAGCAGTTACGATCGTGAGCGCGAGTCTCCCGATCAGGCAAGTTTTGAGATTTTTAAACATTTTTGAAGCTTTCAGAAACATTTTTCAATGCTTTAGGTATCATGTACTTCAATAAAAAAATTTTTCAAAAAAAGGTTTAAATGTTTCTAAAAAAATGATTTTTGACCGATATTATTGATTTTTTGCTTTATTTTTCCGATTTTTGAGAAAATAAGCTTTTAAAAATTCCCTTGAACTTGAGCTAAGTTTAATGATTATTAATTTTGAAAGAATAATTATTGATTTTTTTCAGATCGTCGATTCTGACCAATGGACTTTGGCCGAACGCGAACAGTTCCCGTACTATTTCAATACTCGCGAGCAGCGTAAAAAGGTAAATTCCTTATAGAGGGCTTATTTTTTTGGGTTTTGAAACGGATTTTTTTCGAGTTATTTTTTTAAAATGATATTTCTTCCCTGTAGCTTTTTTTCAAAGTCTATAGTTGGCTATAGTTGAATTTTGCATCAAAATATCTTCATTGAACGAATTTTTATTTACGTCTACTGTTTCATGGTGTAGCCGAATCATGACTAACTTGAGTTGCTAAGGAGGCGTGGCCTGTCTGCGCTCTCCATTAGCCAGGCACTATCTCTTTTTTCATTGTGTCAAGACCCATTTTTCAATGGCTCAAGCCAACTTCTGAATTTTCATCTCAAGTTCCTCTTCACTTCTGCTATCGAAACCAAAGATCAAGATCAAAATCTTTATTGAAAAGTCGGCACCCATCGCGAAATTAGGCGGCGTGCTTGAGCACACGTCGGCGACGTCCAGGATACGAGCCACCTCCAGCGGCTTCGGCTCCGCCTGGATAGGATCCTCCAGATGGAGCAGCTCCAGCTCCAGATCCTCCAGCATAAGATCCACCGGATGGAGCAGCTCCAGCACCAGATCCTCCAGCGTATGAGCCTCCAGAAGGAGCAGCACCAGCTCCAGATCCTCCAGCGTATGAGCCTCCAGAAGGAGCAGCTCCAGCACCGGATCCTCCAGCGTATGAGCCTCCAGAAGGAGCAGCTTCAGCACTAGCTCCGCCAGCGTATGAGCCTCCAGATGGAGCAGCACCACCTCCACCGGAATAGCTCTCAACTGGAGCTGGAGCAGCTGCGGCCGCGTCAGCACCAGCGTATCCTCCTCCACCGCCTCCAGCGCCAGTTCTAGGCGGGCATGGGCAATAGGCCTGAAAAAAACCTTAATCTCAAATTTTTCCCATTTTCACTCACCGCATCAGTTCCTGGCTGTCCGTCAGCTCCAGGCGGTCCTGGCTGACCTGGTCCTCCGGGTTGACCTGGATTTCCTGGCGGTCCTGGAGGTCCGGCTGGTCCTGGCGCGCCGGCAGTCGCGTATCCGCCACTCTCTCCAGCTGGACCGGCCGGTCCTGGAGCTCCGGCTGGTCCTGCCGGTCCGGGCGTGCTGCTCGTCTTGGTTCCTGGTGCTCCCGGCTGTCCATCAGCTCCGGGTTGACCTGGCTGTCCGTCAGGTCCTGGCGGTCCTGGAGGTCCGGCTGGTCCAGGCTCGCCGAGATATCCGCTCTGTCCTGGGTTTCCTGGCGGTCCGTCGGGTCCAGCCGGTCCGGCGTTTCCGTCTGGTCCTGGTGGTCCTGGCGGTCCTGCTGGACAGGCGATGCAGTTTCCGGCCGCGCCGGCGTAGGTATCACTCTGGCCGGATCCACCAGCAGCTCCGTCAGCTCCCTTCTCTCCGGGTTCTCCCGGCTCTCCAGGTTGACCCGGTGGTCCTGGTGGTCCAGCTGGACAGCCGGAAGCCTTAGCCGCACAGTCGCAGCTTCCACCTCCGCCGGCAGCAGCGCCACCAGTCGCGTATCCTCCTCCGCCACCGCCGCCTCCGGTCGCATAGCCGCCAGCTCTGCGATATCGCAAAAGTCCCTCGAAGGCGGCGCGTTCCGATGGAGCCTCAGCGCGTCGCGACATCATCATCGTCTGCCAGGCGTCGTTGGCCTTCTCCTGAGAGAATTCAGAATTTTCTTCATTTTCGCTCTAAGATTACCTTGAAAGTGCCCATGTCCTGGATGAAGTCCTGCTCGAACTGACGGATCTCACCGCCGATTGAGACCAGGGAAAGGACGGTTCCCAAGACGATGACGGCAGAAGTGACGGTGGTTGTCAGAAGCGCATAATACGTTGTACTTTTTGACGACGACGACATCTGAATCAAGCCTTTTCAAGACCAGATTCCGAAAGACTTACCGTCGCTGAAGACGTCGCTGTTCGCTGTAGTGACGCCAAAGAATTCAGATGCCCTTTTTATATGGAAATGAACTAGTTGAATACGACGAGATCGTATCGTAATTCATGGAAATTCTTGTTTTCGCCGTGTGGAACCGTTCGGCCTTGTTTTGTTTTCGCTTCTTCTTTCTTTGTTTTGATAGGAATTTGCTGATTTGTTGGGAGAATACTTGAAAAATGTTCTGAAATTAGTTTTTTTTTGTCGATTCTAAGGAATTATTTGACCCAATTTTTCGTTTCGAAATGTTGAAAATTTTGATTTTAATGGTTTGAAGTTGATTGAAAGTTTTGTGAAATTCAAAAATAATGTTTTCTCCTGAATTTAATCCAATTTTTCTAGATTATCCGAATTTTTTTTGAACAAACTCAACTTTTTCATCTCCCAAGTGGTCAATTTAGGAATTTTAGAGTGGTCCCTATAATGGTTAGGGAGAAAAAAGCGCCTATAGAGACCGAAAAAGTGGTTCCTATAGTGGTAAAATCAACGTGGTTCCTATAGGGATGATGGTCCGGCCCCTAAGCTCCTACTGTCTAAGTGATCCCTATAGGGGTCCTTCAATTTTGATTTTAAAAAAATGTTATTTTTCTAGTTTTTCGCATTATAAATATTATCGACTAGCATTTATCCTATAGGGGCCACTAACTAAAAACCCTATAGGAATCACTCAAGGTTTGTCCCCCCAGGGTCGTTAAAGGGGTCCTTAGAAGGCCCCTAAGGACCACTTTGGAGTTCCCAAGAACTGAGAAAATTTATAGTGGCCGCTATAGTAATTAAATTATTGGCTGCTTGAAGGGTTAAAAATTAGTGGCCACTATAGAGGTCTAAAAGCTACTACTAGACCACCAAAAATTTTAGTGACCACTTTAGGGGTCAATGGATCAACATAACTGGTCCAATCTGTTTGTTTTAAAATTATCAGAGTGACTGGAAGATATGCTGGATGAAAAACTACTGAAGTGGCCACTAAAACGGAAAATAGTGGCCCCTTTAGTGTCCTCTCCAAGTAGTCCTTGGCGAGCCTCTATCATTTTTTTTATCAATTTTCCCAGAATAGACCTTTTTCAAAGAAAATTCCGAAAAACCTTCTTTTTTCACATTCCATCAATGATTATTCCTTGACCTCAGGAGCTCCTGGCGCACTGGGCCAAGATCGAGAAGGCGTGGGACGAGGAAATCGCCGCGATTCAGACGACGTTGCCCGAAGCCAAGTCGACCAGCACCCAGAAATCGGCTTGAATCACGAAATTCTAGTTGTTAATTTTCTCCCCCAGTAGATTTATAATGTTTTTTTTTCTGTTGTAAAATCAAGAAAGGTGTATAGTTTCTTTGCTTCATTGCGAGGATAAAAAGAGCGAAAAAAGATGTAAATTGCAAGTACAGTACATATTAACAAGAAGAACATGAAGATTATTATGATTAATTTCGAGATGTTAAATAATTTTGACAGGAAAGACGAGAGATGGATCCGTGTAGTGACTCGTAATTCGTAGGGAACTCGCGGAGATCGATGTGAGAGATCAGTTCTGAAAAAAAGGAGTTTAGCTAGCTTGAAGTTGGAAATAAATCAGAATTTATATAATTCTAGACATTTCCCATAGAGTTTTTGCTTTAAGAAGCGAAATTGAGCCGCCTCGGACTTGAAAATGACCTAAAAAGTCAAAAATCTACCCGAAACTCGAAAAAATAGGTTCTGAAGCGTTTAAATTCACTACAGCCTTTGCTTAGGAACTCCAGAGTGGTCCCTATAGGTACGTCCTTGGGGGCCCTCTAGGGACCACTTTACCAACCCATATAGGGGCCACTAGAGCTTGCGCTAGTGGTTCCTATAGGGGTTTTAGTTTGTGAAATTGAAAGATCCCTATAGGGATCACTCCAGCTTTAGGGACTAAGGGGTCAGACCCTAAACCCCTATATAGACAACCTTGATTTCACCCCTATAGGGACCACTTTTTCGGTCCCTATAAAGACTGTTTTTTCCCCTAATCCTTATAGGGATCACTCTAAAATTCCTAGGTATAAAGGCTAATTTTGGGGTCCTTGGAGGGTCCCCTCTAGCGACCAGTTTATCAACCCCTTGAGGGACCACTTTTTCGGCCCCTCTAGGAACTGTTTTCCCCCTAACCCCTGTAGGGATCCCTCAAAAATTCCTAGTAATGAGGCCAATTTTTGGGGCTCTTGGAGGGCCCCCTCTAGGGACCAGTTTGTCATTCCCTATAAGGGCTAATAAGGTGCTAACGGTTCAGACCCTAAACCCCTATAGGGGCCACTTTTTCGGCCCCTGTAGAAGCTCTTTTTCCCCTGAACCCTACAGGGATCAATCTGAAATTCCTAAGGGCTTCTAAACAGAATGGACTCAAAAAAGTAATTTTCTGAAACAAACCTTTGAAAGCAGACAGATTAATTGAACTTGTTGACGCCGTTGGCAGCCGCCTGGTTGTTGGCGAAGAGCATGGCGGCGAGGGCGGCCAGGTCGGCTCCCTGGATGTTGTTGAACATCGCGGCCGTCGGTTTCGGCATCTTCGGTTCAGCAACCGGCTCGGCCAGAGTCACGATCTGAGCCTCGATGAGCTTCTTGGCCGTGGAATAGGCCGCTTGGAGAACGGTGGTGCCGAAGTTGTGAGTAATCAGGTTGAACATGTCGAGTGGCTCCTTGAGTGGCGAGTCGACGATCGGCGGCGTCAGAATGTTGATCAGATCTTCAAGAACGCCCAGGGCCGTTCTCAGCTCTTCCTTTCGCTTTTGACGCTTCTCAGCTGACTGAAAAGGATACTTTTTTCTTTCACCAGGGAACGTTTTCTTGTTTCCGAGTTATAGCGCTTCAAAGTGTGCAAAAAACACAAATTAGGCCAAAAAAGCGCTATTTCGGGCTTTTGAAGTGTCCTAACTCGAAAACGAGATCTATTGCGAGAAATTTTCTTTTTGTTCTGGAATCAGGGGGTCCTTAAGTACATTTCAGCAAAGTTTTTAGCAAAATTTCAACAAAGGGGGGTTAAAAAGGTTCCCTAGTCAGTCAGAGAAAGATTGACGAGGAGAAAAAGAGAAAAAAGTTCAAAAATTCTTCAAGCCATATATTCAGTCTTAAGTGCGCTCCACGGCTAAAACAGTGCTGTTTTTTATATTTACTTTTCAAAAGTCGAAAAAGTCCGGAAAAATGTTTCCAACTTTTTTCAGTACAGTTCTTATCTGACCAGGGAGGTCATTTTACTTGTCGGTTGGGATTTTCCTAAAAATTGGCCAGAACACTCCTTGATGTACCAGAAGAATATTCTGAAAGTCTCAACCTGCAAAACTTCCTCGTTTTTGAGAAAAGAATCCATTAAAAAAAAGCTATTTTGAGGCTTCAATCCCTTATTTCTCAAAAACTAGGAAGTTGTGCAGGTTTAACTTTCAGAATCTTCATCTGGTACTTCAAGGAGTGTTCTGGCCAATTTTCAGGAAATTCCCAACCGCAAAGTGAAATGACCTCCCTGTGAACAACTTCAATTTGAAGGAAAGAATACGTTTCTGCTCATTTCATTAAAAGAAAGAAACAGTTTCATTTGATCACTCAAAGGAACGGTGTCCGAAAAGCCTTTATTATGTGAATTTAAAAGGTCCCATGAAAATCTCCAAGCATACAGCCGTTTTCAAAACCTCTTATTTGTTTATTGTTTCCTGCACAAGAACGGCCTCCAATACAGTACCGTGCAATGAGATATACAATTTTACTTTTTTCGTCATAACTTTTGCAGGAGTTGTCCAATCTCTGTCAAACTTTCTACAGTTGTTTCCTGCAGATCCAGTATTTTAACACGAAAAAATCAACTGGGTAGCTAATTGTTGTAGTAAGTTACAGCTGGCGCGATTTTCAGTTCATCGAACGGCGTTTCAAAATTGATTTTAGTTGCTCAGTTGCAAAATTATCCTACCCTGGTGGTGGTTTTTTCATAAATCAAATGTCCTCTATTTTTTTTCAAGCAGTACATAAGTTTTATTTTTTCTCAGAAGACGTCATTCTCAACTTCTGAGCTTCACCAGAGACAGGACAAATTTTCCAGAGTAGCGAAATTTCTCGGAACTACCGAGAATACTTTAATCACTAAGAATAATTTTTATTCTTCTGCTTTAGCGTTTTTTCGGCTACCCTCTCCGTAAAGTGTCGTGTGTCTTGTGCATGCACTGCGTCGGTTTCGCGCAGAAAATTTGCGAAACATTTCAATTCGCCTCAAAGACCTTTGGCAACACGGCGGTCTGCGCCTTTAATAAGTAGTTACGCCCTTACTGGGAAAATTTTAAGTGGCCACCATAGAGTTCTGACGTTTTAGTGGCCACTGTAGTAATCAAATTAGTGGCCACTCGAGGGGTTAAAAGTTAGTGGCAACTGTAGAGGTCTAAGTGCTACTATTAGACCACTAAAAGTTTTAGTGGCCACTTTAGGGGTCATTGGATCAACATAACTGGTCCAATCTGTTTGTTTCAAAATTATCAGAGTTACTGGGAGGAATACTGGATGAAAAACTACTGAAGTGGCCACTAAAACGGAAAATAGTGGCTACTAAAGAGGTGGGTTTAGTGGCCACTTTAGTGTCTTCTCCAAGTAGTCCTTGGCGAGCCTCTATAGTGGCCCCTACAAGTTTTCCCAGTAAGCCGGAATCTCTTCCATGACGTCACCGCCCACCGTGTTTTTGGTTTCTCACAGTACTAACCTTGTACTGTCCAGCAGCGTGAACGGCGACGGCCCTGATCGGGAATTCGTTAGTGCAGATGGAGGCGAAGTCGCGGGCCAGATGCTCGGCCTCGCCCTCGACCATCGACGTGAGCAGTGTGACAGTGGCCGACTTGCGACGGCCCGCCGGAAGACTCAGCCCGAGCCGTTCCAGCGTCTCGCGCAGCTCCCTGCCGCCGTTCTTCGCCTTGGCTCGTCGCAGGATCCCGCCGAGCATCGACGCGTTCAGGTTCTCCGGCGGCCCGAGACGACGTTGGATCTCGCCCAGCGTCACCTTGTACTTGGTCGTCGAGCTCAGGAACGACAGACGGCCTGGAACCGTGCAGAACACCTGCAGATCGTTCAGAATAATATGATTGTTTCTTGAAAATCGAGCAAAAATGTTATAATTTGCTTGATAATGGTGTTGTTGATACAGTGGGAGACACAATCAGATTTTTAATTTTTTATAATGATAGCCGTCAGAGACTGAAAAAGATAATTAAATTTTGGAGAGTCAAAGAAAAAATTTGAATTTCGCGAAAAATATTCTGAACACGGTATTCCTAATGGGGTGAGGCGTCAAAATTTCTGAATTCACAAAAAAAAAGTAAGTGCGCGCTCCGGATAAAATGACGTCAATCTACGTTAATAACTTGTTTGTTCGATTGCCTTTGGCTGCGTACTTGAGATTTGAATTTTCGCGCCCAAATTTTTTTTTGACCTTTTCTCACCTCGTTCTTGACGCCATGGGTATCAAGAAAAGCTGGGAAAAAAACTAGGTAAAAATTTCGATTTTTTAAATTTTTAGATTTTTAAGTTAAAAGGATGTGGTAAGACCTACATGACCTCAAAAATAACACTGAAAATGGAATTTTCTGTTCAAGGTTTTGAATTTTTCCTGACACTTTTAAATAATTAAAAAAACAACATTTTGATGTTATCTCACTTTCTAAAATACCTTATCAAAACGAAGCAAAAAATCCAAAAATCCATAGTTTCTATTCCTGAAGTACACTATTCAAGCTAGCCACAAAAAATTTCATTAAAAAATAATTTTTCAAGTTTCTGACGGCTCAAAAGCATTACAAGACCTAAAATAAAACTGTAAAATATTTTTGGCCTCTTTAACATCACAAAATTCTTCGATAAAAACTGAAATTTCAAACAGATCTCATGCAAATCTTCACAAAATTCAACAAAAACCAGCAAAAATTAAAACATCAAGACGAACCTCATCGGAACGAAGAACCGTGCCGACAGAAAAAGTCAAATGCGGAATGATACAGTCGCCTTGGACCGTGTCATCGAAGGAATCCGAGTCCGACAGTAGGTCCTCCTCATTCTTGGCCTTCTTGACGACGGCTGGGATGGGCGAGGCGGCCCGACGGCTCCCATGAATTTCGGCTTGAACCGGGCTCGAGGGCCCCTGTTCCAGGGCTTTCTGCTGCAGCAACGTGGAGATTTTGTCGAGGACAGCGGCTTGGGACATTTCGAGACGACGCCGCAATGGAGGAATGATAATGGTGTGGCGGGGGCGCCCAACCGGCCGATTTTCTAGTCGTCTCGCCGACCCTCTGCAATTGACACGGTCTCTCGGTGGCCTACTTGGGCCTCGGAGCCATTTCCCACAGGCATGCCTCTACAGTGCGCTAATCGCGCCTTTTTGCCTGACCCTGATCTCGAGGCGCGTTTGAATATAAATTTTTTGGCGCCTTATTAGGAAAATCGAAGGAGAGATCCTTATCAAGTCACAGGAAATCTTTAAAAACAATTCAAAAATTCTGTAAAAACCCCCGATCCCTTGAAATATACAACAAGGATTTTCGAAAAGAATTATAGTTTTTCAATTTTTATTTTTAAGATTTCTAAATTGGACTCGGTAGAAACCCTCGATTAAAGTGTTAAAGTTCAAAATTTGAAAATTAACAAAAAGACCAAAAAAAAACCATTTTTTTAACGACAACTACAAGTGTTCAACTTAAGATACAAATAAAATTCAATCGCTCTTAGGAACCCCAGAGTGGCCCCTAAAGGGGCAAGCTTAAAAGCCCTAGGAGTGACCACTTTACCAACCCCATAGGGACCGCTAAAGCTTGAAAAAGTGGTCCCTATGGGGATATGCTATTCGATGATTGTTATGAACTCTAAGCGAAGAAACATTTCCATGAGAAAAATTGAATAAAAGGCGTTTTTTGAATAAAATTGGAAGCCCCTATAGGGACCACTTGAGCTTTATAGGCTTAAAATTCAGACCCCAGACTCCTATAGGGACCACCTAAATTGCACCCCTATAGGGATCATTTTTTATCATTTATAGAACCTGTTTTTTTCTCTAAGCCTATAGGGACTACTCTGGAATTCCTAAGCCAAGTTTCCATCTGAAAAAAAAAAATGTTCATTAAAATAAAACGTGAACCAAAATCTCATATAATTGAAACATTTGAAAAGTCTCGGCGAAACAAAAACATTTATATTATCAAAAAACTGCGAGATTTCTCTTTTTCTCCCGATATCTTTCCATTGATCTTATCTAAATTTATCTCGCGATCAACGAAAAATGACACATTTTATCAAAAAGTAATGAATTTTTTTGCCTCCAGCGCAGAAAAAAACAGCAAGAAAGAAAAATTCCCAGCCCTTGAGGTTCTAATATTTGGCACCTTCTGGTGACCTCGTAAAACTTGGGCAATTAACCGGCTAATGACCATTTTCGGCAAGCTATTTGCACAAAATAATGCCATGGTGTGAAATTTGCCAACAGCAAAGAAAAATATATCGAAACTAATTTTCAAACGGTTTGTGAATCCTTTGCTCAAATAGGATCTTTTTCAAAAAGCCTTGCTGAATTTTTTAAAGACGCAGGGGTCTTGAAAACTTTGAAAATCACAAAAAAACGGCTCATAACCTCGAGATCTTGTTCATGTGGCTTCAAAATGTCCATAAATGAATTTTGAGCAAACTATAACGTTATAAAAACAGTAATTAAAAAATAAACCTTGAGAAAAAGTCGAAACTCACCGAGAAAGGAACAACGAGTGCTGAAAAATTGTCTATAAAACCATTCTATCCTTAAATGACAAAATAGTTTAATCGATAGTCTCTTATTCCTAACACAATCAAAATACAGAAATCATTTAAAAACGAAGAAAAAAAGTCAATGAAAATATTTTTTTGAATAAAAAAATTTTTGGCGCGTTCACTTTAGAGCGTTTTTTTGCTCTATTTTTCCTCGTTATTTTTATTTTTATTTTTTTCAATTTCGTTACTTCTTTAATCCTTCTATTTTTAAATTAAATAATACTTTATTGCAGTTACAATAAGGAAGAAACGAAGTGAGTAGCGAAAAATTGAAAGAAAAAAAGACGTCGAAATGGCGGAAGCTCGCCGACGTCGTCAACTTCACCCGGCTGATTTGTGGCTTTTCTGAAGGTTTTCTTTTATTTGTTGATTTATATCTGAGAAAAACCTTGAGTGATAAACTGATAATGAGCGTAGAACCCAGTGGCGTCGAAAATGTCGTTCGTGAAGAAAATCATGCGAAAATAGTTGGATTCCGAGAGAATTGGCCCACGCGGCGCAATCTTGAATTTTTGGTTATTTAGTTGATTTTTCATGATTTTTAGAACCTTCCCACAAAATCTTCGATTCGTACGGTCGTGTGTTTGATAATTGCTGAAGATTATGTAGTCGCTTTGCGTTGTTTCATCGCATCTTGATAAAAAAATTAATGAATTTTTGAGGAAAAACTAACTGATTAAAAACCCTCGACATCGAAATATTCGAAATGAATGTGTACAATTTGATCAGCGCGCCCGTGGAAAAATATATTCGCAGAATATGTTCCTTAATTTTTATAATTTTATGAAGATTTTTTTAAAATTTACCTCGGATATAAACCAGGATAATTGACGGACCACAATTTTTCCATTAGTATGCTCTGTAGAGTTGAACAAAAATCGGCATTCTGGAAGAAAATTCAGTTTTTCCGCTCATTTCCGAGAAATGGTCTTGAAAAGATTAGTTACAGTAAGCCTCAATTTTTCTTGCTTTAATCTTTGAAGTGGTCACTTAAGGAAAGAAATAGATACTAAAACTTTCAAGAGGCTATTTAAATATTTTTCAATATGGAAAATAAAATTTTTTGAAAAGTCGTTTTTTCAGTCAATTTTTATCACGAGAAGATAATTTAACTCCGCTATAAGTTTGGGAACCTTTGAAGTGGTCACTTAAGGGGCTTTTCCATTAGATTTGCCTAGAAGTGGGCCCTTAATGGGTTCTATTAAAGTTTCAAATTTTTTTAAACTAATCATCAAAAAAATATATATAGATTCTAAAAGCTTATAAGAGACCACTCAGATTTTTTTCTATATTGGAAATTAAATTTTTTTGAAAAAAATCGTTTTTTTACTGTCAATTTTTTATCACAAGAAGCCTCATTAACCTTGCTACGATTTTAAAAAATTTTAAAAGTGGTCACTTAAAGAGTTTCTATTTCATTATATTTGTCTGTAAGTGACTACTAAAGGGATCAAACCCGAATTTTTCAATTTTAACTGTTTTTCTCGTTGAAAAAAAGCAATGGAAATTGTCGATGTTTTTGACCATTTCAAGGTTATTTTTCATATTTCTAGGTTTCAAAAATTTTTGTTGGGATTTTAAAATTATATAGAACACTTTTTAACAGCAGAAAAACCAGTTTTTTCATTAGTTTTATTTAAAAAAAACACATATTTTCACTTTTCAAAAAAAAACCTTTAGTTCTATCAGCCTTGGCGCGCATTTGCTCCATGTTCCAGTCGGTGTGGAATTTATAATCCAATCGAAATCCAATATCGTCTTTCGAACTTTCGCGAACCAGGCGGGAGGACTGAAAATTGTCAATTTGGGACTCATTTTCATTTAATTTTTGGATTTTTTGAAGTTTTTTTTTTCTAAAAATGCTCATTTTTTTTGTTTAGTTCAGCGCGCTCCGTCGTTGTATTAAAAATAATGATAGATTCAGTAGTTTGACCATTTTTTTGAAGCCGTAAAAATCATTTTGGAACGAAAAAAAATATTTCAAAAAAATCAAAAAAACGCTGATTATTTTTTTATTGCACCTGATTCAAAAAAATGGATAAAATACACAAAAAAATCATATTTAATTTTTTTATTTTTCTTCACATTTTTTTCTAGTAGTGTGGTTTACACGCTCAAAAAAATTTGAGGATTATTTTTCAGACCCAATTTTTTTCAAACTCTTAAAAAAATAAAAAAATATCGAATTTTTCGTAATTTGAACATACATTACAAAAAAATTTTTCAATTCAAAAATTTTTTTAGCTTCCCTCCCCGTTTCCTCAAAAAAATACAAATTCGAAAAAAATCTCTAATCCAGTCAATAATAAATTTCACACGGCATGTTCGCTCCAGCGCACACTAAAGTTCATCCCCCGGTGGTTCAAAAATGATGGTTCAAAAAAAAAAATCGAATCCAATTTTTGTATTTTTTGGACAAGTTAGCTCCAGCGAACACTAGAGTCCATTTCCCGACTTTTTTTTTCCAAAATCCCCCAACCAACCTTGGTGGCGTACTCGATCTGAATCAAGTTGGTGCTGCTCATCAAGTTGGGCGGGGTCCGATCGCCGCACCATTCCTCGATTCGCGACAAACGCGCCCCAACGCGAACGTCAGCGCTGACGTTGTCCACGTCTGTGCATCTGTAAATCGCGGACGTTTGAGAAAAAAAAAAGGAAATCGACTCGAAAAATCGTTGGAAATCTAGAAAGTACGACCGTTTTAAAAAAAGCAAAATTCCAAACCTCTTGCTGATATTCTTATTGTCCGGAACGTATAAGTTGAAGTGGGTGAACTTCAGGGAGATCTTCTCATTGGGATAACCTGAAAAATGACGTCATAAAATTTTGACAGACTTTTAATCACTTCTTGCACTGTCTAGGTAGGCATAGGAAAAAATTTTTAAAAACAATGACGTCATTAAAATTTCCTTGGGGATCTTTAAAGACTGAAGGAATAAAAAACGTTATCACATGACGTCATTTTATTGGTAAATGACGTCATAAAATTGGTACAGACTTTCGAATCACTTCTTGCACGGTCTAGGTAGGCATATAAAAAATAATTAAAACTCAATGACTTCATTAAATTTTCTCAGAGATCATCAAAGACTGAAGGAATAAACAACGTAATTATCAAGGAAATGACGTCATTTTTTTTCTCGAAATGACGTCATAAAATTGTTACAGACTTATAACCACTTTTTTGCACTGTCTAGGTAGCATTTAAAGAAATATTTAAACTCAATGACGTCATTTAAATTTTTCCGCGGATCTTTAAATACTGGATGAATAAACAACGTAATTATCAAGGAAATGACGTCATTTTTTTCTCGAAATGACGTCATAAAATTGGTACGGCTTTTGAATCGCTTCTAGGATCATCTAGGTAGCATTTCAAAAAATTTTAAACTCAATGACGCCATTTAAATTTTCTCAGGGATCATCAAAAACTGAAGGAATGAAAAGACGTCATCGTCAAGGAAATGACGTCATGAAATTAGGGCAAGCTTTTGATTCACTTTATGCGATATCTAGGTAGGCATTTTGATGAAAATTAAACTCAATGACGTCATTTTAATTTTCTCAGTGGTCATCAAAGACTGAAGGAATAAAAAACGTAATTATCAAGGAAATGACGTCATTTTTTTCTCGAAATGACGTCATAAAATTGAGACAGACTTTTAATCACTTCTTGCACTGTCTAGGTAGCATTCAAAGAAATATTTGAACTCAATGACGTCATTAAAATTTTCTCGGGGATCATCAAAGACTTAAGGAATGAACAACGTAATTATCAAGGATATGACGTCATTCTATTGAAAAGTGACGTCATAAAATTGAGACAGACTTTAGAATCACTGCTGTGACTGTCTAGATAGGCATATAAAAATTATTTTGAGCTCAATGACGTCTTTGAATTTTCTCGGAGGTCGTTAGGACTGAAGGAATAAAAAAATTCATTAACAAGAGGATGACGTCATTTTTATTTTTGAAATGACGTCATAAAATTATGACAGACTTTTAATCACTTCTTGCACTGCCTAGGTAGCCATTGAAAAAGCATTTAAACTCGATGACGTCATTTAATTTTTTTCGGGGACCTTTAAAGACGGAAGGAACGAAAAAAGTCACTATAAAAAAAATGACGTCACTCCATTTTTCCAGATGACGTCATCAACGAACCTTGAAATACGACTCGACACTTTGTCGGCATGGACGAGGCGAATTTCCCGATTTTCTCCGATGACAAGGATCCTTCCTTGAAGTTTTCTGACGTCACTTGAAGGAGACATTCCGTCGCGGCCCCTGAAATGACGTCATCATTTTCAGGTGGGAGAGCTTAAAAAGTTTTTTTTTTAATATCAAAATTCTTATGGAATTGCTGTACAATCTGACTTTGTTAAAAATGGCGGACGTTTTTGAAATGCGGACACTTTGTTTTTGAGATAACTGGGAGAACTAATGTAATCACTGGTTTTGAAGAAAAGAAATAGGCGGGCGTTTTTAAATTAAGTTACAGTTTCAGCGAGAATATATTAAATTAAGATCGCAAGAAATTTTTACTGCGTTTCAGAAGCCATTAGCAGAAGGTTAAGGACGTTTTTAAAGTGCGGATGCTTTGAAAAAAAAATCTAACACTCAAGCAATTTTTCCATATGGAACTCAACCTATTGAGGGACCAGTGTGATCAAAAAGCCCTTAAGTCATCACTCTGAGATTCCTCAAGGGAAATATCTTGATTTTTCAAGACAAAAGCTCACAATGTTTCCGTAAAGCTAGCGGTAGATCGGATATATTATCAGAAAAAAGCCGTTAATTTTCATCCCAAATCCCTTAAGCAATCACTTCCAGACGTTCAAAATACTGATTGTCAGGCTCAAAAAAAGTTGATATTATCAATTCACTACTCTGATTTGTAATGTATAGGATCTTGAAGCGAAAGATACAGTAACCCAAGATTTTACCTCGATCTGGAAAAAATTTCGAGGATGTTTTTAAAGTGCGACGCTATTTGAAAAAAAAATCTTCAGACTTTTAAAATTTTGGGGATTTCTGAACCTTTCCCTTGACAAACAGTTGATTGAGAAGTTCAAAAAAAAACTTGAGATTTTTTCGAAAATTCTCCTGAAACGAAATATACAGTAACCCAGGTTTTTTTTATAAATCTAATGCACTGTATCAAGAAAAAAGGAAATCCTCTCGAAACGAAATGTACAGTAACCCAGGATTTTTTATAAATCTAGTGCACTGTACTAAGAAAGAAGGAAGTTCTCTTGAAACGAAATATACAGTAACCCAGGACTTTTTGTAAAGCTAATAGACTCTACTAAAAAAAAAAGAGAATTCTCTTGAAACGAAATATACAGTAACCCAGGACTTTTTATATATTTAATGGACTCTACTAAGAAAAAAAGAAAATTCTCTTGAAACGAAATATACAGTAACTTAGGATTTTTTTATGGATCTAAGAAAAGAAAAAACCTGCGACAACCGATGCTGCGACGGTCAAAAGCAGCGCATAGGGCAGCAGCATAACATAGGGACGCAAGTTTGGCGCAAGTCGGCGCGGGTCCGGATCAATCAGGAGAGAGACTCACCGGCGAACGCAGAAGAAGAAGAAGAAGAAGGAAAAGAAGAGTCGTCGGTGTGGAGCCACACGGCCGACGCGTACTGCAACTCAATTACGAAGCCGACTGCCTGCAAAGAAATGTCCATTTTCCCGAGGCTTTTACGGCCGTTTTTCGGTTTTTTGGGTCCAAAGAGGGTGGATAATTGAGTGGGAGGTTAGGTTTTTGGGTATTTTTCGAGTTTAGAGGTAGAAAATGGCTCCAGCTTCATCGATAAGTCTTGAAAAGATGCTATTTTTTTGGGTACAGATAAAAATCCATGACAAACTTTCTATTTTCCCGGGATTCGAGGGCTTTTTCCGTTTTTTTTTGGCCCCATAGAGGGTGGATAATTGAGTGGGAGGTTAGGTTTTTGGATATTTTTCGAGTTTAGGGCTCAAAATTTCATCGATAAGTCTTGAAAAGATGCTATTTTTTTGGGTACAAAAAACTCCATAAGAGGAAAATCTATTTTCACGGGATTCGAGGGCTTTTACTGCCGTTTTTCGGTTTTTTGGGCTCAGAGAGGGTGGATAATTGAGTGGGAGGTTAGGTTTTTGGATATTTTTCGAGTTTAGGGCTCAAAATCTCATCGATTAGTCTTAAAAAGATGCTATTTTTGGGTACAGAAAAATCCATAAGAGAAACGTCTATTTTCCCGGGATTCGAGGACTTTTTTCCGTTTTTTTGGAGCCAGAGAGGGTGGATAATTGAATGGGAGGTCGGTAGGTTAGGTTTTTGGGTATTTTTTCGAGTTTAGGGCTCAAAGTTTCATCGATAAGTCTTGAAAAGATGCTATTTTTTTTGGGTACAAAAAACTCCATAAGAGAAACGTCTATTTTCACGGGATTCGAAGGCTTTTTTCCTTTTTTTTTTGGGCCCATAGAGGGTGGATTATCAAGTGAGAGAAAAATAGGTTAGGTTTTTGAAATTTTTAAGTTTTAGAGGGTGAAAAATGAGTCCAAAATTGCTCCAGCTTCATCTAGAAGACTTGAAAAAAGATTCTAGATTTTTTGATGTTTTTTAAGGTTTATGAACGGAAAACTGATTCAAAATTGGTATGAAATCACTCAAAACGCTCATGGACTTGATAAAGATTATATCTTTAAAGTGCAACCACTTTTTTTCGTACAGATAGGGACCACAGACCTATTTTTTTCGAACTCAAGCTAGCTCCTCGTTTTTGTTATAAAAACAATGATTTTAACATGTAGTATGCGAAAACAGAAAAGAAAAACGAAAAATATTAAGAATAAGAGGAGAAAACAATATTTAAAAGTAATTGAAAAGCAAAAATTTTTGCACTGAAATTTTGGTTTTGCGAACTCTCATGCAATCTGCGCGCACCCTCATTTGCAAGGTCGCCACGGTTTCAGGAGCCAAAAGAGAAGGTTTTACGAGCTGTAATCCCACTTTACCATCATTTTCGTCTCAGTGACTGCACAAATACAGCCTACAGTGCTCTTTGAATCCCATAAAAATGTAATTTCGCCCACTTTTATTCACCTTTTTTGTTGAAAAATTTTTTTCGGCGATCTTGAAATTTTGATTTTATTGCTTTATCTGTTTGAAAATTAAAAACTCTTATAAATGAGTAAGAAAAAACGCGTGTCTTCGACCGGGAAATGTTTCAAAATTACTCCCAAAAAATTCTCAACCTTTTTTACCACTCGAAACAGTACATTTGCTTGTAGTCGTCAACAAGTATTATTTGAGCAATGTTTTTCTCAATATGAAAAAAGCATAAAAATCTTCCAATACTGCATTGCAATTGAGAAAACAATTTTTGATTTTGCGCGCCTCTCAGTTTTTTCGGCGAACATAGAATTTTTATTTTTTTGGCTTAAAAAATTGCGTTTACTGTTTATAAATAGTTTTCAAAAAATCAACTTTGTCCGCGACCTAGATGAATATCAAAACGCAAAATTAAGTTTATTTTTCGAACTCGTCTCACTATTCCGTACGACACTCCGTTGAAACACATGGAAAGTACCTAAAACCTTTTCTACATTTATGCTGAAATTTTCATCATTTTTCATTGTTTCTATCGGCTGTACGAAACAATCAAAGACGGAATACCAAAAAAATGGCCTTTTTTCCCTCGCGAAAAGGGGCGGGGCTTTGCGGTCGCTACGTACAGATAGTTCATACCTATGGCCGCTACTTCTGCTAATAAGAAATGTCCCATTCTTTGAAGTTTAGCGCTTTTACGGCCGTTTTTCGACCGATTCTAAGACTTTTTTGGAGCTAGAAAAAGTGGATAATTGAGTAGGAGAAAAATAGGTTAGATTTTAAGATATTTTTTCAAGTCTAGAGGTAGAAAATTACTGGAAACTAGGTTAGAATCCACATGGAATTTTGAAAAATAGGTCTCCGATCTTATTTTTTCAAAGTTTTAGGCTTTTTTGGATCTTGACAAGGTGGATAATTGAGTCGGAGGTTCATAAATTGAATTTCAGGCCTTTTTTGAATTTTTTGAATTTTTGAAATCAACAAAACGACTTCAACATGGATCCAGACACCTTCAGAATCTTTAAAAAAAAAAGCACGTGATTTTTACAATTTTTTAAAGTTTTTTAATCTTTTATAAGCTTCATAGTGTTCAGAAGGTCAAAAAAACTAGAATGTACTATTATTTAAAAAAATCTGAAGCTCTTTTTTTACTTGAAACAAATTTGAAATTCCAACGAACCCTTTCAAAATCATTGACTCCTGCCGAAAAAAATGGAACATTAATGAAGCCATCGATGTGACGTAGACGTTCCTTTGGCCGTGGCGCACCATTTCCAACCGCTTTTTTTCTCGTATTTCTAGAATAATTATTCAATTAATCGGTAAAAAAAGTCAATAAAAAAACCCCCTCCGTTGATTCGAAAATTTGCAATGACGCGTCCTTGCCCAGCTCGAGGAACTTGGTCATTGCAATGATCTGAGAAACAAAAAAAAATTTTTTTAATTTATTATAAATTTTGAGGAAACGAAAATTTTTTTGCATGTGAGATTCTAACGTTAGGGTGTCACGTTTCATTTAAAATTAGAGTTTCGAAATCGATTATTTCAGTTCAAAATTATGAAATTCGATTCAAAAATATTTATATGGAAAACTAGGCTACCAAGTTTTGGAAAATTAGGTCGTGACGTTTCATTTGAAAGTTGGGGTTTCGAAATCGATTATTTCAGTTCAAAAATATTTATTTGGAAAACTAGGCCACCAAGTTTTGGAGAATTAAGTCTTGACGTTTCATATGAAATTAGGGTTTCGAAATCGATTATTTCAGTTCAAAGAAATCTTGATTCAAAAATATTTATTTGGAAAACTAGGCCCCCAAGGTTTGGAAAATTAGGTCGGCACGTTTCATTGGAAATCAGGGTTTCGAAATTGAGTCCTTTGATATAAAATCCAAAAACTCGGTTTGAAGTTAGCCATTTGGAAAACTAGGCCACCAAGGTTTGGAAAATCAGGTCATCACGATTTTGAGGTTGAGTTCTGAGAATTTAAATCAAATGTATAACTTGAGAATTTTAATTTGCTATTAGATAATTGCAGAAATAGTCCGCATGGGTTTTGGAAAAACAAGGCCTGCGCAAAAAGTTTTTCCGGCGGCCTAATTTTTCCAAATCTAACGAAGGCCGCATATATTTGGAAAATTAGGCCTTCATTTTTTTCCAACGTGAAAAAAATGTAAAATGAGAAGAAATTGAAAATATGAATATTTCTCGTTAGGTTTGGAAAATTAGGCCGTCATTTTTCCAACTGAAAATGAGAAGAAATTGAAAATATGAATATTTCTCGTTAGGTTTGGAAAATTAGGCCGTCATTATTTTTCCAACTGAAAATGAGAAGAAATTGAAAATATGAATATTTCTCGTTAGGTTTGGAAAATTAGGCCGTCATCCAACTGAAAAATGAGAAGAAATTGAAAAATATGAATATTTCTCGTTAGGTTTGGAAAAATTAGGCCGTCATTTTTTTCCAACTGAAAATGAGAAGAAATTGAAAATATGAATTTTTTTCTCGTTAGATTTGTTAACTTAGGCCGTCGGGAAACTTTTTGACCCAACTCAACTAATTTTAATATTTTTGAGTTTGAATTTTTGTCCTTGTCCCATGGATTGTTGAGCTTTCATTATTGATTTTTTTTACCAACCTGAAATCCTTTCCTTTGAGGTACAATGTAGGTGCAATTGACTCGAGATGGATAGAAATACGGATAATTTGGAGAGTATATCAAGGCCTAAATAGTCAATTTATCATCAAAAAGTCATTCAAACCATGTTTTTCTCCACTCTATAGCTGCATTCCGATATTTCGACAGCCTCCGTTGTGAAATTGGCTGGAAAAACATGATTTCTGAATAGAAATAACAAAAAAACCTTTTGGAATGGATTGGAATGTGCCGGAAAACCCGCGAGAGGACTCCCTTTTGTGGCGAATTTGAAGGATCATGTGCTCGTCTCTGGAAAAAAAATATAGTCAAATCGCAAGTCGTTTTGGGTCGGGCGCATTTTCATTGTGTTTTACCATATGAGAAAGCTGGGAAAACTCAAGTGGCCACTTAAGAGGTCCCTCAAGGACTACTTGAAGCGGACACTAAAACCACCTCTATTGAAACCACTATTTTGTGTCTTAGTGGCCACTATAGTAGTTTTCAGTGGAGTAGTAGTGTTAGTCCTCTAAAAAGGCCACTAAATTCTAGCCACTCAAGTGGCCACTTTCCTTGAGCCGAACCAACTTTGACACAAACTGCCGTCCAACCACGATTTCCTTGCCGCAAAACTCGAAATCCGCCTTTTGATCTATGTCGACTAGCCCATCGTTGGAGTGATCGTAGAGCATTACGGAGGAGGAGCATCTGAAAGTTGAAAATGTCAATCAGCGTAAGTCGTAATAGGTCGGGTGCAGAGAGGAAGATGATAAAGGGATTCAGTGGATAGGCTTGTTACATCTACATATAGTGGCAGTATAGCATTACGGAGGAGGAGGAACAACTGTAAATTCTAAATGTCAATCAGCGTAAGTCGTAATAGGTCGGGTGCAGGGAGGAAGATGACAAAATTGCATGCTGGATAGATTTTTTAAACCTACAAGGAAGAAACATTGGAAATTTTAATGTTTTTCGGAATATGCTAAGAAGAATAAAGGTCACGATGGCGTAAGTAGCGGCGGGTCGGGTGCGGAGATTTTTCAGGGTTCAAACAGGTCTTTTTCCGAACTTGGTGAGACTTTTTAGCAGTGGATTTGGTGAGGATTTTTCATAAAATTGAAAAAACTGACGTTCCAATTCTTGGCGGCAGGTGGAAGACGTCAAACGTGAGGCGGATGAAATGATTCCGGGGCGCCTGGAAATTCTTTTTTCATTTTGGAAGAAAAAAGCATGAAATTCCGCATCGAAGCATGTTATTTTCAGCTGTAGAAGCTCTAGAAATTTTGTGAGATCAGCTATACAAGGTCGCGTAAGCCGCTTAGAGTCGGTTGCAGTTATACTTGATAAAATCACCTGAAAGTGATAAAAAAGACAGTCGACGTTCTCCAAGGCGCCTGGATATTCGGGCGAATGAAATAGGCCCGAGGAGACGTTGAAAACGACGCAGCGACATTGGGTGATGACGTCATCGAATGACGTCATAGCTTGGGCCACCCAGAAGATGGCCCAAGCGGCGGCCGCCGCCTCGATCATCCTTTCTCATCCGTCATTTTTGAATTTTCCCACATTTCATCTGAAAAGTTGGATCATACAAAAATAATAATAAGGAACTGGAAGTATTGGAACATCAGAGAAGCTCGTCGATAGCTTGGAAGGGGCATAATTAGCATAATAAGTACGAGAAAGAGAAGCTTTTCCGGACCGGAAATTGGGGCTGAAACCGGAGATTTGTTGAAGATTTATGAGATTTCTACTGGGTTCGAGTAGATTTTCAAAATTTACGCTTTTTCTTTGTTAGTCTATTGGAAACTATATTCAATTCGTGAAGATTGAATTTTTGGAAAAAGCCATTTTTTGCCATTTCCCTTGGACCGCCAGAACTGATCGAAATGAATTTTAGACTTTTTTCAAGCTTAAAAATCAGTATTTTGGACGGAAATCAACTGTTAAGCTCAAAGTTAAGCTGTTAAGCCTTTGAAAAATAGCCAGAAATGAAAATATTCATTCAGAAATGAACATTAGCCGTGGGGCTCAAAATTTAGAAAATTGGAGCTTTTTTGAAAAATAGCCAAAGATGAAAAGATTCTTTTAGAAATGAAAATTAGCCACGGAGCTCAAAATTCAGCTGTTAAGCCTTTGAAAAATAGCCAAAGATGAAATGCTTCATTTAGAAATGAAAATTAGCCGTGGAGCGCACTAGTTTAGTTTTAAAAAGCATAAGGATTCTTCGAATCGCCTTTTGAAATTCAAAAAAGTGACTGAATTTAGCCCTGGAGCGCACTTTTGAATAGGTCGGGGGACGAAAAAGCCGAAAAAGTAAAGCGAAAAAATGTCGAGAAGACGTCGTCGCTGAGCCCCGTCCTCATCATCATCATCATCATCATCATCTGGTAATCCAGAGACGAGGAGGCGCTTCTGATGGGCCGTGAGAGCCGTCCGGGTGATGACATATCCGGTTTCTTGCCCCCCTTGGATTAGTTCGGCACAAAGCCTTTGGGTTAAGGAAGCGTGTATTTTTAGGCTCCTGGACCTTATTTGATGAGAAAATGTCGATTCGCCATGGAGCACATAAGTGTTTGTAGGAAACGGCCAAGAGGTTAGGGTAACTGAGAACTGAGCTTTTTAGGTCTTTTTGAAGAGAAATGGGTTCTTGAAATGTTCACTTATGTTCATGGAGAAAGGCTTCGAAATAATTCGAGTTCAAAGGAAGTTTAACTATAAGTTAGCGTTGGAGCGCAAACTATCCGTCAGAAACAGCCAGGAGTTTGATTTTACTGAATACTGAGCTTTTTTGGGCATTTTTAGGTTATTTTGATGAGCAATGGGTTCTTTAAATGTTCACTTATGTTCATGGAGACGGGCTTTGAAATAATTCGAGTTTAAAGGAATTTTGAATATAAGTTAGCGTTGGAGCGCAGATTATCCGTCAGAAACAGCCAAGAGCTTGATTCAACTGAAAAAAGAGCTTTATTGGGCATTTTAGGTCATTTTGATGAGAAATGGGTTCTTGAAATAGTCACATATGTTCATTGAGACGGACTTCAAAATAATTCGAGTTTAAAGGAATTTTGAATATAAGTTAGCGATGGAGCGCAGATTATCCGTCAGAAACAGCCAAGAACTTGATTTTACTGAAAAATGACTTTTTTGGGCGTTTGAGGTCATTTTTGAAGAGAAATGGGTTCTTGAAGTGTTCAGTTATGTTCATGGAGACGCTATTCAATATAATTCGAGTTAAAAGAATTCTTCGAAATGTATTTTAGCGTTAGAGCGCATATTATCCATCAGAAACGGCCGAGAGTTCTGAGTCACTAAAATGAGCTTTTTGGTTTTTTTTTTAGCTTGGCAAATCTGTTTTCAAACGAACCAAGAACATTAAAAAAATTTAAAAAAAGGGTTTTGTGGCCTTTTTAGCCGTGGAGCGCATAAGATTGTGTTGAAATAGCCGCATTTTTTAAACATCAGGTTTTTGAACTTTTTTGAGTCATGGAATATATGAAATTGATGAAAAATAGGCTCGTGGCTAATTTTATAACAATTCTGGATTTTTGGGACCTATTTTTTTGGAGATGCAACACGTGGAATTGGCTAGAAAAAAATCCAGGAAAAAAAGATTTTTTTCTCGGATGAAAATTTTTTTCAAAGTTGTAGGGAATCACATAAGATCTCGTGAAAAACCGTAGATTTTTATTAAATTATTAAATATCCAAACTTACCTGGTTAGCTTTTGGAGCGTATAAAATTGATGAAAAAAAGCATTAAAGTTCAATTTAATTTTTATAAGTTAATTTTTACAGACACCACACAGATGGTTATACTAGATTGAAAGCCAGAATTTTCATTTTACAAGACTTTTCCAAAAACTATCACTGGAGCGCAAAAACTCGTGTAAAAACAGCCAAGACTCCAAAAACGAGTGACCAATTTTCGGGAAAACTTGAGAACCCGTTCACTTTTTTCTCCTCCTAAAAGCTTCAACCCATCAAAAAGCCCATTTTTTTTTCTCGCAAACGAGAAAAAAAAAGAACTGGAGCAAAAATAGGGAATTAGTCGCTGAAAAAACAGAAGAGATGAAGGCGGAAGATAAGGCGCCAAAAGGACCGAAAAACAAAAAAAAAAGTGAAGTGAAAAGGAGGGAAGAACTGAAGTGGGGCAACTTTTTTCTGTTCTGGAGGAGAAAAAAGGCCTGGAAGTGTGGGAATTCTGGCCGTTTGGGCAGGGATTTAGGAGTTCAGTTGGAATAGATCAATAAGGTCAGACGTTGAATTTTCACAAAAAGGAAAAAAAATTGGATAATCAGTAATTAAGGCGTGGTTTAGCCGTGGAGCACACATGCCCTACTCAAAATTAATTGAATATTCCTTTTTGAGGGAAATTTTCTTTTTGAGCTCATTTCACTCTTGAAACCCCTGCCTGGAATTTAATTCAAAAAAACGTTTTTTTCAAAATTATAATTTTTTTAGCGATAGAGCGCAGTAGAGTGTGATAAAACAGCCTACAATTTTTTTAAATATGGTTCTGGCCTAATTTCAAAATCAAAGTGCACAAAATTAAGTTTAAAGAAGTATTCAAAATTCATAAGATGGTTAAAAATTACTATTAGCCATGGAGCAAATTAAGTAATGTAAAAAAATAGCCGTGGAGTTTTTTTTTAAAATTTTTATTAGGGTTCATTTTTGAGCCTTGTAGAGCAAAAATTTTTCTGTTTGAAACGATTAAATTGTTTTCTCCTTTACATTTTTTAAAATTATTTCTGACTTCAAATACTTCAAAATCACCTTTTTATGAACCAGTTTTAGTTCTAGAGCGATTTAAAAACGTCGAAAAAAACTGATAAAGTAATTTTTTTGAGTTGAATTCATTCATTCTCAGTTTTTTCTTCAATATCAGGAGGGTTAAAACAAAAAATCTGGTATCTCTCAGATTTTTCTCGTCTAGAAGTAAAAAGATAGGGGGCGAAAAAAGTAGAAAAAGGACTGGTTGAGATGTAAATTGTGAGCGGCACACGTCAAAAGGAGAGATTTCCGGCACTCGAGGCCTACTCGCATTGTGTTGCCCTATTAGGGACGACAAGAGACCTCCGCCTTCCTTTTCGTCCCATTTTGAGTGGAGACTTGAAAAGGCGTCGCCTCAGGCCTTGAAGCTCGGAAAGTTAACACTTAAGGGGAAGCTTCAAGTGGCCACTATAGAGGCTCGCCAGGGACTACTCGGAGAGGACACTGAAGTGGCCACTAAAGCCACCTCGATAGTGGCCACTATAGAGGCCACTTTAGTAGTTTTTCATCTAGTATCCCTTCCAGTAACTCTGATAAGTTTAAAACAAAGAGATTGGACCAGTTATGTTGATCCATTGGCCCCTAAAATGGCCAGTAAAATTTTCAGTGGTCTAGTAGTAGCACATAGACCTCTATAGTGGCCACTAAGTTTTAACCCCTTAAGTTATCACTGATTTGACTACTATAATGGCCACTAAAACTTCAAAACCCTATAGACTAAAATTTTCAGTGGTCTAGTAGTAGCACTAAGAGCTCTATAGTGGCCACTAATTTTTAATCCTTTAAGTGGCCACTAAAATTTGCGGTGGTCTAGTAGTAGCACTCAGAGCTCTATAGTGGCCACTAATTTTTAACCCCTGAAGTGGCCACTAATTTGACTACTATAACGGCCACTAAAATAGTGTATTCACCCAGTTTTACGGACGAGGTCGCAGCGAGAGAAACGCTATATCGCGGGGGAGCCGCGAGCTATATCGCTCGCCTCTCGGCGCAAGGTCGCTCACATCTCGCTGCTATGTCGCTCTTTCAAAAAAATTTTTTAGCTCGATTGGGCTTTTTTTTCTTGATTTGCTTTCTATGCTTCATACTTTTATTGGGTTGTAAATGATAACATATCGATCTTTATCAACCTTCTTTACTTTTTATTTAATATAAACAATATATTTAAATGAAAACTTGAGAGCATTAAAGAAATTTCCAAATAATTGATGATACATTTTCGAATTCGAAGTAAACTGAAAGTATGTACAAATCTGAAGAAGAAAAAAAAATTGAATTGAGGCGAAAGAGTGAAGCTTCAAGTAAGAATAAAAAAAAGACAATATGAGGAAAAAAACATATGTATCGTTTATTTTTTTCATAGGTAAAAAAATGTGACTAGGAAAAGAGTAGTTTCAATAAAAAAACAGAAAAAAGTAAACCGATTGTAAGCTCGTAGATGATCTTTAAAAAGTTCAAATTAGAAAAATAAAGGAGGGAGGCTCGAAAATGAAAATGAAAGAAGTTTTTGAAAAAAAGAAAATTAAGTTAAACAATCAGATTGACCCTAAGTTCCCTTAAAAAAATGTTACTGTAAGCTTTGACTCGATAGTTTTCGGCATATCCTTCATTTGCTGCGTCAAGAACTTTTCTAAATGATAAAAATCGGTTAAAAAAAGAGAAATACTGAAAAAAAAGTCCAACCTTGAATAAGAGAATAACTCACAGGAGCGACTGTATCAAGACAGCAGTTCGTGCTTTCTCGAAATCATGCCTCATTTCTTCTTTTTCCTTACCCATCGACGCCAAAGTGCAAATCATATCTTCAAGTAAAAAAATGGATATACTGTTTCAAAAAAATAGTTTACCAAGAATCTTATTGATTGTATCCAGAAGCAAAGTTTCGGTGCCATCTCCCACGGATCTTTCTTGACTTTTATTGATCGAAAAAAAAATGTTAGATGCCATTTTGAAGTACTAATAACCTGAAATTTTTGGTTAAAACATGAAAAAAAAATGCGAAAAAACGACTTTCAAATTCAAGAAAGGTGTGCAGTTTCGTCAAAATATATACAAAAACGCTTTTTTTTATCACAACTTTCTTTAATGGGATTTCACCCTTTTGAAACTCTCTGGAAATATGATGACTGTTGATTGTAACGCCGTGGTGAAAACTTAGAAACACAGCTGAAAAAGTTTCAGAAAGATTGAGCTCTATACGAGGAAGTTGTGAGCGAAAAATATTTATCCTCTTCTGACGGTACTGTATGAGCGTTACATTAGTTGTAAAAAAATAACATTTTTAGAAATATTAAGTGAAAAATAGACATAAAAAAATCAGAGAGAATATAACACACGAAAAAAATAAAAACAATTCAAGTAAAATTTTTGATGGCACGTAAATAGTGACCGATCGATAATCCGCGACCTCGCGCCGATATCGCGCCGGGAGTTTGCTAGAGCTGAGCGAGATTGCAGCGAGATATGTCGCTGCTATGTCGCGCCACTCTCGCTGCGATATAGTCCACGAAACTGGGTGTTTATACACAGTTTGAATAAATTATTTATAGACAATGGAACAAAATTAAACAAAATTACACTTTTAGAAAAGGAAAGCATAATGCGGTCGAGCGGGACCTAATTTATTCAAACTGTGTTACACTACTCACTAAAAACGTCCGAACCCTATAGAGGCCACTAGAGATTTTCCCAGTTAAGAAGAAGCCTTTAGGGATTTTCGGACACCATCCAAGGTTGGGAAAGGTTTCTAGATGGGAATGAAGAAGCTCGAGCTTGAGTAGGTATTTTTAGAACTTGGAACTTCCGCACTTCAAAAACGGTCTTTTAAAAAAAAGCCCACGATACGTTTCAAGACAAAGTCTTAATAAGATCTTTGCAATTACAACTCGTTCTTCAAGCATCATCGACCATTATCTGAAAGAATTTTTAAAGCTTTCGGGGCATGAAATGTTTCGTCCGATATAAAAGAAGTAAAAGAAAATTTCAAAAATCATGAAAAGCCCCTAATTTATCTTATTTAACAAAAGAGCCTTAGTCATCAGTTAAAAAGTGTTATTTGAAAGAATCCGACCAATCCAGAATCAGTTGGAGAACTGGAAAAATTCCAAAAATCTCAGATGATCGAGATAAGATACCGGAAACATAGAATTCAGCAGAAAATCGGAAATTTCCAAAAAAGGCTCACTAAAGTTTTTTCTTGTTCTGAAATCAGAAGGTCCTAGAGTACACTTCAGCTCAGAAAGGGGGGGGGGGGAGTAAAAAAACATTCTCTAGCTAATCAAAAAGTAAAAGTCGACTCGAGGCCTTTTTCCGACCAAAAATCATTGTACTCATTTTTTTAATCTATATGCACTTTAAAAATGTCCGTGTCTCAAAAGTGGGACAGGATATTTGTATTTTGAGCTGGAACAGGGCTGATAAAGCTTCAGATGGGTTTTCTGAGACCTCAAACAAGAGTAAATCATAATTAATAGATAGCATTCAAAGGGGAATCGACCTGAACAATTTTTAATCGAATGATAAACTAGTTCATTGAAAAGCTGACATCATAGCGAATCAAATAATATAACAAGATAATTTGAAGGTTTTCTGGTTTGAAAATGCGAACAGTTCATCCTTTACCAAAATGATAAATCATTTAATTCTGCTTCTCCGAAGTTGGTTACGCGAAACGGACGTTTCTGGGCAATTCTAGGGATCACTTAAGAGCAATGACGCCACTAAAGTGGTCATTAGAAATGCCCTGACATGTCCGTCTTGCGTACTTGGACATAGGTAGCGCGAACCGCACGTTTCTTGGTAGTTCTAGGGTTCACTTAAGAGGGCTAACGCTACTAAAGGGGTCACTAGAGATGCCCTGACATGTCCGTTTCGCGTTACCAATGTCCGAGTCAGATCGCATCGATTGCAAAAAAAAGCTTAAAACTTAAGGCATAGTAAAAATTAGCAAATGCTGAAGGTGCACAAAATTATCGATGTGATAGAAAAAAATCCTGTAGAAATCGAATTTTAAAGACTGAAATTTAGACTTTCAAATCATGAGCAGGGCCAAGAAAAATTAACAATGATAATCTTTCAGGAAACGGCAGAAAGAAGCTGTTTGAGAGGGATGACGTCACAATCTTCAACTTGATAAATTTTTGAACTCCATTTCTTTTTTTGTCAACGTTTTGTTTTTTTCAAGGTTAAATGAAGAACTTTATTCTTTTTTTTTTTTTCAACATTGGGTTCGGGAATAACGATAATTGTACGATATTCTTAGTTTTATATGCTCGTATAACAAAAAAAGTATTTGAAGTTTTCTGGAGACCCATGAACTTTCTCATCTAGTTTTCCGGTTTCAGCATCAGATTTTGACCTCTTAGTTTGATCCAGTATATATCAGCCCCCATTTGACCTACCGAGGTCAAACCTTGTTTTTCTTGACCTCCTTGATCTTCTCTATCGATTGATATCAAATTTGACCTATTCTCCAATTTTTGACCTCTCAGTTTGATCGCCTCTAACTTAGTTCCTAGTTGACCTACGGAGGTCAAACCTGGTCTCAGGTCATTTTCTCGTCGAGATCTATCGATTGATATAGGTTTCGTCCGGATCGGCTTCCATGACCTGAGAAGCTCGAAAAAAACCAAAGGGGTTAGACTGCACTTTTTTCGATTTTCCCGAAATCCAAAGTTTCCGAGATTTTTCACATCAATCGATAGGAAATGGCGTCAGAAGCCTGAGAATCCAGGCCAAAAAGTTCAGACGCTTCTTGAATGAAAGTTATGATTTTTTGAAGTTTTTGAAAATACATAATTCGATTCGTAGGGGGTTAGGAACTTGGAGACCTAGTTTATCTTGGTTTCCTTGATCTCCTCTATCGATTGATACCAAATTTGACCTATTTTTCCCATTTTTGACCTCTCAGTTTGATCGCCTATAACTCAGTTCCTAGTTGACCTACGGAGGTCAAACCTGGTCTCAGGTCATTTTTCTCGTCGAGATCTATCGATTGATATAGGTTTCGTCCGGATCGGCTTCCATGACCTGAGAAGCTCGAAAAAAACCAAAGGGGTTAGACTGCACTTTTTTCGATTTTCCCGAAATCCAAAGTTTCCGAGATTTTCACATCAATCGATAGGAAATGGCGTCAGAAGCCTGAGAATCCAGGCCAAAAAGTTCAGAGGCTTCTTGAATGAAAGTTATGATTTTTTGAAGTTTTTGAAAATACATAATTCGATTCGTAGGGGGTTAGGAACTTGGAGACCTAGTTTATCTTGGTTTCCTTGATCTCCTCTATCGATTGATACCAAATTTGACCTATTTTCCCATTTTGACCTCTCAGTTTGATCGCCTATAACTCAGTTCCTAGTTGACCTACGGAGGTCAAACCTGGTCTCAGGTCATTTTCTCGTCGAGATCTATCGATTGATATAGGTTTCGTCCGGATCGGCTTCCATGACCTGAGAAGCTCGAAAAACCAAAGGGGTTAGACTGCACTTTTTTTCGATTTTTCCCGAAATCCAAAGTTTCCGAGATTTTTCACATCAATCGATAGGAAATGGCGTCAGAAGCCTGAGAATCCAGGCCAAAAAGTTCAGAGGCTTCTTGAATGAAAGTTATGATTTTTTGAAGTTTTTGAAAATACATAATTCGATTCGTAGGGGGTTAGGAACTTGGAGACCTAGTTTATCTTGGTTTCCTTGATCTCCTCTATCGATTGATACCAAATTTGACCTATTTTCCCATTTTGACCTCTCAGTTTGATCGCCTATAACTCAGTTCCTAGTTGACCTACGGAGGTCAAACCTGGTCTCAGGTCATTTTCTCGTCGAGATCTATCGATTGATATAGGTTTCGTCCGGATCGGCTTCCATGACCTGAGAAGCTCGAAAAAAACCAAAGGGGTTAGACTGCACTTTTTTCGATTTTCCCGAAATCCAAAGTTTCCGAGATTTTCACATCAATCGATAGGAAATGGCGTCAGAAGCCTGAGAATCCAGGCCAAAAAGTTCAGAGGCTTCTTGAATGAAAGTTATGATTTTTTGAAGTTTTTGAAAATACATAATTCGATTCGTAGGGGGTTAGGAACTTGGAGACCTAGTTTATCTTGGTTTCCTTGATCTCCTCTATCGATTGATACCAAATTTGACCTATTTTCCCATTTTGACCTCTCAGTTTGATCGCCTATAACTCAGTTCCTAGTTGACCTACGGAGGTCAAACCTGGTCTCAGGTCATTTTTCTCGTCGAGATCTATCGATTGATATAGGTTTCGTCCGGATCGGCTTCCATGACCTGAGAAGCTCGAAAAAAACCAAAGGGGTTAGACTGCACTTTTTTTCGATTTTTCCCGAAATCCAAAGTTTCCGAGATTTTCACATCAATCGATAGGAAATGGCGTCAGAAGCCTGAGAATCCAGGCCAAAAAAAGTTCAGAGGCTTCTTGAATGAAAGTTATGATTTTTTTGAAGTTTTTTTGAAAATACATAATTCGATTCGTAGGGGGTTAGGAACTTGGAGACCTAGTTTATCTTGGTTTCCTTGATCTCCTCTATCGATTGATACCAAATTTGACCTATTTTTTCCCATTTTTGACCTCTCAGTTTGATCGCCTATAACTCAGTTCCTAGTTGACCTACGGAGGTCAAACCTGGTCTCAGGTCATTTTCTCGTCGAGATCTATCGATTGATATAGGTTTCGTCCGGATCGGCTTCCATGACCTGAGAAGCTCGAAAAAAACCAAAGGGGTTAGACTGCACTTTTTTTCGATTTTTCCCGAAATCCAAAGTTTCCGAGATTTTCACATCAATCGATAGGAAATGGCGTCAGAAGCCTGAGAATCCAGGCCAAAAAAAGTTCAGAGGCTTCTTGAATGAAAGTTATGATTTTTTTGAAGTTTTTTTGAAAAATACATAATTCGATTCGTAGGGGGTTAGGAACTTGGAGACCTAGTTTATCTTGGT